ACACTGCACTGTGGGCTAGAACGGATGCCCCAAGCTCCTTGAAGACTAGGGTCTTGTCACGTTTGTATCCTGGGGCCTGGCACAGGGCCTGGCAACCAGTAGGTGAAGCTGGCTGGTGACAGCTTCCTTAACAGCAGTCGGTGCCATCCACCCAGCCCTTATCCCTAGTCCAAGAAATTCAGTGTGGAGGTCTAGCAAGATGGCAAGCCTGGGCATGACCAAACAGGTGGAGACAGGTGAGTGGAGGAGGTGCCCTCTCTGGCCTGTGGAGTCAGGGCTCAGCGCACAGGCTGAGAGGCCTGGAGGTGGGCATGAGTCCCACCTTGGCCACTTGCTGGGGATGCAGCCTTGAGTGTGCCATTTGCCCTCTAGCCCATTTCCGCAACTATAAGCTGGGAAGAAGAGTGCTTGCCTCTTGGCGTCATGATGAGGAATCCACAGAGTAATGAATGCAGCATCTATTTACGGAGCACCTGCTAGGCATCAGGCATGGAAGCTGCAGAGACAAGCAAACCTCTGCCCACGTGGGGGTCACCTGCCAGTGGGTAATACCAGCTAGCCCTGCCGGCTGCTGTGCTGAAGGTCTTAACATATGTCTAAGTATATTACCTCATTCCACGCCCTCAGCAGTCCAGTGAGGCAGGTATGAGTACTGTACCCATTCATTTAACAGATGATCAAACGGAGGCACAGGGGTGTATACCTTCCCCAAGGCCACGTTGCTGAGAAGTTGAATGCATGCAGAAGGCTTAGCCCAGTGCCTGACTCAGTCAATGACAGTGGCCAAAGCACTTGCCCCGCCCTGCCTTCCCTTCCTTCCTGCCTCTGCCAAAGGATCTCAGTCCAGGGGTGATGGGGCGGGGCTTCCTTCTCTCCCCAGGTGCCCTGAGAAGGGGGCAGGGACCTATGGCTGCCAGGGTTCCCAAACCCTTGGTGCCTGTGTGAGCATTCAAGATGACAACAAAAGACCCAGGCAAGGACGGCTTGGGTCCCACCTAAGGGCACAGATGTTGGCCTGCAGATGGGGTGACTGGTAGGCACGTACTCAGTCCTTGTCCCTTCCTCTCTCTCTCCACCTGACTGACCTGCTCATCCCTGGGGAGCCACCAAATTCCAAGAGTCAGCATCCCCTCAGGTAAGGCAGTATTTGTTCCAGCATCACCTGGGCATTTGCCTTCTCAGAGACAGAGGGAGGGAGGAAGGAAAACTCTGGAGGCAGAGGGAGAGTCCGAGGGCTCTGGGGGAGCAGGCAGAAGCGCCAGCACCCGGGCACCTGCCCAGCCTCACCCCTGAGCTTCTCCATGTGACTCTCCCCCTGCCCCCTGCTATCCCCTGGCTATTTTTGGAGCCACCCACTCAGCTGTCTTAAGGTAGCAGTGCCTGGCTCCAGTGTCACCAGGCCCACAGAGGCCAGCCTTCCTTAATGAAAAGCTGCAGCCACTTCCCCCTCTGATCCTCCCTGCCCAACTCAGGGGTGCCAGGGACTGTGCCACAAGCCAGAAAGTCCCCAGAAAGGCTCCCCAGGCCCCTCGGTCCTCAGAGGACCTTCCCACTCATAGTTGTCTGGATTGCAAACTGCCGCTTGTAACACACAGCACCCTCTGTCCATTGGGCCTACGGGTGGAAAGGGGGGGGTCACAGGGTCTTTAAACTTAGTTTGAAAAATTTACAGCATACTATAACAAGCCCCCATGAATCTGTCACTCAACTTCAACAATTATCAACTCATGGCCAATCTAGTTTCATCGATACCCCTCCCAATTAATTTCATCCATCAATATTTCAGTATGTGCCTTTAAATAATAATTATTTTTAATGTAATCACACGACATGTTCAGTTATTAACATCATCAATAAAATTCCTTAAAATCAAACTTCTAATGTTCAAATTTCCAATTTCTCATATATATATATATATATATATATATATATGTGTGTGTGTGTGTGTGTGTATATATTTACGGTGTACTTGTTCCAATCAGGATACAAAGAAGGTACACACATTGCAACTGATTGAAGATTGATAGGGCTCTTTATTCTTTTCTTTTTCTTTTTTCTTTTTTCTTTTTTTTTTTTTTTGAGACAGTTTCGCTCGTTACCCAGGCTGGAGTGCAATGGCGTGATCTCGGCTCACCGCAACCTCCGCCTCCTGGGTTCAGGCAATTCTCCTGCCTCAGCCTCCTGAGTAGCTGGGATTACAGGCATGCACCACCATGCCCAGCTAATTTTTTGTATTTTTAGTAGAGACGGGATTTCACCATGTCGACCAGGATGGTCTCGAACTCTCGACCTCGTGATCCACCCGCCTCGGCCTCCCAAAGTGCTGGGATTACAGGCTTGAGCCACCGCGCCCGGCCTTTTCTTTTTTTAAAGATGGAGTCTCACTCTGTCACCGAGGCTGGAGTGCAGTGGCGCAATCTCGGCTCGCTGCAACCTCCGCCTCCCGAGTTCAAGCAGTTCTCCTGCCTCAGCCTCCTGAGTAGCTGGGATTACAGGCACGTGCCACCACATCCAGCTAGTTTTTATATTTTTAGCAGAGACAGGGTTTCACCATGTTAGTCAGGATGGTCTTGATCTCCTGACCTCAGGTAATCCACCTACTTTGACCTCCCAAAGGAGGTTCATCCTTCTTTCCCTTCCTTCCTTTCTTATTTCTTCCCTTCCTTCCCTCCCTCCTCTCTCTCTTTCCTTGAAGGAGCCAGATCATTTCTTCTGTACTTTTCTGCCCTCTGGATTTTGCTTGTTGCATCTCTATGGTGTTTTTTTTTAACATGTTCCTCCCACCTCCATACTTCCTATACATTGTATTTCCTGTACACTGTTTTCTCCTATTAATTGTAGTTGCATCTAGAGGCCTGATAAGGTTTACGTTCAGTTTCCTTGTTGAGACCACTTCACAGGTGGTGGCAACGATCTTCCATTTGAAGGCACATCATGCGTTTCCGTGGTCTTAGCAGTGTCCGTGCCTCTGCATCAGCTTTTTATTTTTGTGTGTGTGTGCAAAATAGTGATATTCAAATTTGATCACTCTGATCACTCCTTCCTTTACTAGCTGGAATAATTATAGACAAACTGCCCCTTGCAATTTGGTTACTGAGTGGGAAAGTTGGCATAAGAAAGACAGGAGAAACGCTGGACTCTTCCTGTATTAACCAGTCTCAGAATAAAGAGCTGATTCCCCAGCATCCTCCAAACTCTGGCCAGTCTGGGCTTTTTGTTGGTAGTAGAATGATGAATGCATGGTTATCACATATCGGGTCCCACCTGGTGCTCACATTGCCTATCTTTAGCTCTCCATTTGGCCCTCACCAGTTGGGGCGTCAGTTGGGGGAACTGGAGGGGTCGGAGGAGCTGGAGGGGCACAGGTGTTGGCCTGCAGATTGGGTGACTGGGGCTCGCACCCCGCCTCGCACAGCTGGTGCCCGCGCCATGCCACGGGCTGCAGGCTCCGCCAGGACTTCCCCGGCCTCTGCCTCACTCCTGTGGCCCAGCCCTGCCCTGAGCTAGTCGGTTCTCTGTCCTTGCCTTTTTGACAACCGCATCCGTCTCTCCAGCTTTCTGCCCCGCCTCTGCCCACCAGTGCCTAAATATAAGCCCTCTGGTCCTTTGTGCCCGTATCTCCCCATCCCAGTGAATGTTTGCTGAATGAACGAGAGAATGAATGAATGTTGTCCAGTGTGTCTCATTCAGCTCCAGTCTCTATGCACCTGTCTCTAAGTCTCTTGACGTCTGAGGCCGTGTTTTCTTTATCCGCATCTATACGTTGCCGTGAGGGACAAAGGAAAGGGCTTCTCGTCATTGTGATCTGATTCTCGCATCTGCCTCCCAGACTCCACCCACATCTTTCTCCCCCGTCCCGTTCACCGCCTCCAGCGCAACAACAAAGACTGCGACTCGGCCAGTCTGCCACGAGAGGGCGCGCTCGCCGGCTCCAGCCCGGTCTTGCGCCTGCGCGGTGTTGGGGCGGAGCGGGAGTCGGGGGCGGGCTGGCTGTGCAGCGCCTCGCAACGCCCCAGGCTGGGGATGCGCGTCAGCAGTGCGTGCGGGGCGCCGCAGTTACGGGGGGCGACGCCGGAGGGAACTCAAGGCCACGAGCTCCATCTCGTCCTCCCCTTCCCTATCCAGAAGACGCTCTAATCTACGAGGGGAGGAGAACCGGCACGGAGGCAGGAGCTGGACATAATGATCTCTTCCCGCTCCGACCTCCACCCATCCCACCATCTATATCAAGCCTCCGACATCCAAGGACATTTCCATATCCCCCCAGACATTTTGGGATGCCAGCCTGGAGACCTAATGTACCCGGAATCCCCCCCTTTTTTTTATCGGTGGATTTCAGCGCTCAACGGGGTTCATTCCCTGAGCCTCTGACGACCCAAATCCATCACACATAAGTTGGAATGCCAGGGACCATTCCCGGCCAAACGTTTAGCTTACCGGAGAAAGAGGGAAGAGGAGGGACTGTCTGAGGTGCCTTGGCACCACGCCTGCACAGCTGGATCTCTGGACACAGAACCCTAAGCCGTTTCCACCCAGACACTCCCACTCCATCAAGTGGGGGTAAGAAGGATAAATGAGATGATGGAAGTGAAAGTGCTTTGCAAACTGTAAAGCTCTGGAGAAAGTAAGGGTGTTTTATTTATTTATAACTGACAGTGCAAGGTAATAGCTTCCCAGGGTCAGTCCACAGGCCCAGCCCGAGAGCTGGGAGAGGTCAGATTTAGAAGCCACCGTTCACTGATAGAAGGATTAGGATAGTAAGGCCGGGCCCGCTGGCTCACTCCTGTAATCCCAGCAATTTGGAAGGCGGAGGTGGGCGGCTGAGATCAGGAATTCCAGACCAACCTGGCGAGCATGGTGAAACCCCGCCTCTACTCAAAATGATTAGGCGGGCGCGGTGGTGGGGACCTATAATCCCAGCTATTGAGGAAGATGAGGCAGGAGAATAGCGTGAACCCGACAGGCAGAGGTTGCAGTGAGCTGAGATTGCACCATTGCACTTCAGCCTGGGTGACAGATCGAGCCTCTGTCTCAAATAAAAAATAAAAAAAGAAGTATTAGGAAAATAAGAGGCAAAAATCTCTGACATCTGTAGATGGCATGATTATTTATATAGAAAATCAAGAGATTCTAAGAGCATATTATTAGAGTGATTAAGTGAAGTCCTGCTGGACAAAGGTCAACATCCAAATTACAGAAAATCATAAGAATACAAATTCAGCAGTGTTTCTATGCACTAGCAATAATTTATTAGAAATTATAGTCTCTTTTCAAAAAAATCATTCACAAATAAATTAAAATTTGTACAGAACCCAGAAAAAAATTAGAAAATACATTGCAAGATATTTAGGAAGAAAAACATAGGCTATAATAGTAATAAGTAGATGGCCAGGCATGGTGCCTCACACCTGTAATCCTAGCACTTTGGGAGGCCGAAATGGGCATATTGCCTGAGCTCAGGAGTTCGAGACCAGCCTGGGAAACATAGTGAAAACGAGTCTCTACTAAAATACAATAAAAATCAGCCTGGTGTGGTGGCAGGCCCCTGTAATCAAGAGGCTATGTACGCCTGTAATCAGCTATGCAGGAGGCTGAGGCATGAGAATTGCTTGAACCCAGGATGGGGAGGTTACAGTGAGCCAAGATGGAGCCACTGCACTCCAGCCTGGGCAACAGTGAAACTCTGTCTCAAAAAAAACAAAAAAACAAAGTAACAAATGAAGAACAATAGAGAAGTATTAGGTTAGGGATGAGATGCCTCAATGTTACAAAGATGATTCTCTCCACCTTAATCTGTTGATTTATTGCAGGTCCAATAAATATCCCAACAGGATTTTTCACAGAGCTAGGCAAACTAATTCTAAACTTCATAGAGAAGAACAAAGACCCAAGAAAAAAGTAGACCATTCTGAAAAAGAATAAGGAAAGAGACCTGGCCCTAACAAATACCAAGACCTTTTTGAAAGCAATAATTAAAACAATGTGGTATTGGTGCCGGGCTAGACAAAGGGATCAATAGAACAGAGTGCCCAGAAACAGATCCAGGCATTTGTGGGAATGTGATTTATCATAGCGGCAGCACTGCAACTCGGTGAGAGAGAATAGACTATTCAATAAAACGTGACAATTGTCTTTTCCTATGAAAAATCTTCACACCATCCATAAATATGAATTTCAGATGGATTAAAGACCTAAAAGTGAAAAACAGAACTTTAAAATAATTAGGAGAAAATGAAAAAAAAATTAGGAGAAAATGTAGGAGACCTAAGGGTAGGAAAGTATTTCTTTTTCTTTTCTTTTTTTTTTTTTTTTTTTTTGAGATGGAGTTTCACTGTTGTTACCCAGGCTGGAGTGCAATGGCACGATCTCGGCTCACCACAACCTCCGCTTCCTGGGTTCAAGCAATTCTCCTGCCTCAGCCTCCCGAGTAGCCGGGACTACAGGCGTGCACCACCACGCCCGGCTAATTTTTTTGTATTTTTAGTAGAGACGGGGTTTCACCTTGTTGACCAAGATGGTCTTGATCTCTTGACCTCGTGATCCACCCGCCTCGGCCTCCCAAAGTGCTGGGATTATAGGCGTGAGCCGCCGCGCCTGGCCAGAAAGTATTTCTTTTTTTTTTTTTTTTTTTTTTTTTTTTGAGACGGAGTTTCGCTCTTGTTACCCAGGCTGGAGTGCAATGGCGCGATCTCGGCTCACCGCAACCTCCACCTCCCGGGTTCAGGCAATTCTCCTGCCTCAGCCTCCTGAGTAGCTGGGATTACAGGCACGTGCCACCATGCCCAGCTAATTTTTTGTATTTTTAGTAGAGACGGGGTTTCACCATGTTGACCAGGATGGTCTCGATCTCTCGACCTCGTGATCCACCCGCCTCGGCCTCCCAAAGTGCTGGGATTACAAGCTTCAGAAAGTATTTCTTAAACAAGAGACAAACTCAAAAAAGATCAGCCGATTTTTATTACATTACCCCCCAAAAGCCCTCCACCATGAAAATGACATTACAAACAAAGCTAAGAGACAAGGAGCAGCCTGGGTGGCCATGGTGACAGCATATACAACAGATAAAGGGTCAGCATTCAGAATATAAAGACCTCCTAGGAATCTACAAAATTAGTCGGCTGTGGTGGCACATGCCTGTAATCCCAGCTAACTGGGAGGCTGAGGCAGGAGAATCACTTGAATCTGGGAGGCAGAGGTTACAGTGAGCCGAGATTGTGCCTTCACACTCCAGCCTGGGCAACAAGAGCGAAACTCCATCTCTTCCATCTCAAAACAAAACAAAACAACCCTCCTAGGAATCAATGTGGAAAAGACAGAACTTTTGTTTTATTTGTATTTCTTCTTCTTTTTTCTTTTTTGAAACAGGGTCTCGCTCTGTTGCCCAGGCTGGACTTCAGTGGCACAGCCTTGGCTCACTGCAACCTCTGCCCCTCCAGGCTCAAGTGATCCTCCCACATCAGCCTCCAAGTAGCTGTGACTACAGGCACACACCACCATGCCCACCTAATTTGTATATATATGTATATACACACACATACATATATATATAATATATATATTATATTATATATATTATATTTTTTTGGTAGAGATGGGGTCTCATCATGTTGCCCAGCCTGGTCTCAAACTCCTGGGCTCAAGCAATCCACCCACCTTGGCCTCCCAAAATGCCAAGATTACAGGTGTGAGCCACCCTGCCTGGCCTATTTTTTTTCTTTCAAGGCATTCGTCAAGTAGTAAGGACAGATTTTTTGTGTGTGCCACTCCAAATAGCATCCCTTCTCTTCTTCCTCGATAATCAGAACCCTGTTCTGATTCACGGGTTTGGGCTTTCGGGGAGGCTTGGCCTTCCTCAGCCCCATCAGTTGAAAAGTGATTGGTCTAAATATAGCATGTTAATTTAGTTCTTCTGATCAATGATTGGCTTAGGTGTGGATGTTTATGCAATTCTGGAAGGTCTCTTGGAGGGGAAGGAGACTAATAAGAGAGTAATAAGGAGACTAATAAGAAAACATCCAGCGTGATGCGGTGACTCACACCTGTAATCCCAGCACTTTGGGAGGCAGAGCTGGGTGGATCGCCTGAGGTCAGGAGTTTTGAGACCAGCCTAGCCAACATAGTGAAACCCCAACTCAACTAAAAATACAAAAAATTAACTGGGCATGGTGGTGGGTGCCTGTAATCCCAGCTACTAGGGAGGCTGAGGCAGAAGAATCACTTGAACCCAGGAGGCAGAGGTTGTGGTGAGCCAAGATTGAGCCATTGCACTCCAGCCTGGGCAACAAGAATGAAACTCCGCCTCAAAAAAAACCAAAAAAAAACAAACAAACAAAAAAAAAAAACAGAAAGCATCCACTTACCCACTTTCTTCTGTCTCTGGACGTTATTTGCACAAGACACTTGGAGCTGAGGCAGCCATCTCGGGACCTTGAGGAGGCCCGTCTAAGAGGCAAGCCAACACAATGAGAGGGTGCTGCAAAAAGACAAAAAGAACCTGGTGTTTGATGTCACAGCAGGGCCTCTGAATTAACCACCCCCAGGACTTCTTGTTATGTGAGCTAATAAATGTTCCTTTTTGCTTAAACCCCTTCGAGTTGGGCTTTCTGCTGTAACTTGCACTGAAAGCTACAATAGGATAGCAAAGGATATGAACGTAAATGATTTGCCTAGAGGAAACCCACATGGCCAATGACATTAGTAAGATGCTCGACCTCAGAGGCAGGGAATGCAGCTTCAAATGAAATACCACCTCATGCCCATCGGATTGGCAAACATAAGTCTAACAAGAGCAAAAGTTGGCAAGGATGTGGTGAAACAGGACGTCTTGTACAAATGCTGGTGGTGAGAGGATCAATTGGTTCAGCCGCTGCAGAGAGCAGTTTGGCAGTACTAGTCAACTTCAAAGTGTTCCTGCACAACAATCCTAGCTTTCTAATTCTAAGTATATGCTCTAATGATGGGTTCAGAGAAAAGTCCAAGCATGTTCACTGCAGCCCTGTTTATATAATAGAAAAACAGGCCAGGCGAGGTGGCTCATGCTTGTAATGCCAGCACTTTGGGAGGCTAAGGCGGGCAGATCACTTGAGCTCAGGAGTTTGAGACCAGCCTGGCCAACATGGTGAAACCCCATCTCTGCTAAAAATACAAAAGTTAGCTGGGCACAGTGGCGTGTGCCTGTAATCCCAGCTACTCGGGAGGCAGCTGAGGTAAGAGAATCATTTGAACCCAGGAGGCAGAGGTTGCAGTGAGCCGAGATTGAGCCACTGTACTCCAGCCTGGGTGACAGTGAGACTTTATCTCAAAATAAATTAAAAAAAAATAATAGCAAAACATAGAAACAACCTAAACACCCAATTGATAAATATATTGTGGCTTATTCGCGTGATAATAAACAGAAGTTAATTTGAACAAATCAAATGAATAATTGTGGCTCCATTGTGAAAAACATGTTGACTGGGAAAATGGTACACATAGTATGACGGCCATTGCATAATTTTTTTTTTTTTTTTTCTGAGACAGGGTCTTGCTTTGTCACACAGCTGGAGTGCAGTGGCACAATCATAGCTCACTGCAACCTGGAACTCCTGGGCTCAAGTGATTCTCCTACCTCAGTCTCCCAAGTATTCAAGACTATAGCTGAACCACCACACCTGGCTAATTTTTTTTTTTTTTTTTTTTTTTTTTTTTGAGGCAGAGTCTTGCTCTGTTACCAGGCTGGAATACAGTGACACCATCTCGGCTCACTGCAACCTTCTCTTCCTGGGTTCAAACGATTCTCCTGCCTCAGCCTCCCAAGTAGCTGGGACTACAGGCATACACCACCACGCCTGGATAATTTTTTTGTATTGGGTTTCACCATGTTGGCCAGGATGGTCTTGATCTCCTGATCTTGTGATCTGCCCACCTTTAGCCTCCCAAGGTGCTGGGATTACAGGCATAAGCCAGCTTACCGAGCCTAATTTTTTATTTTTTGTAGAGATGGGGTCTTGCCATGTTGCCCAGGCTAGGCTTGAAATCCTGGCCTCAAGTGATCCTCCTGCCTCACCCTCCCAAAGTACAGGGATTACAGGCATGAGCCACTGTATCTGGCTGTTACATAAATTTTTAAAATACATAACTCTAGGATAGGCACTGTAATCTCTAGGCTCATGCCTGTAATCACAGCACTTTGGGAGGCTGAGGCGGGTGATCACTTGAGGTCAGGAGTTTGAGAACAGCCTGGCCAAAATGGTGAAACCCCATCTCTACTAGAAATACAAAATTAGCCTGGTGTGGTGGTGTGGGCCTGTAATCCCAGCTACTCGGGAGGCTGAGGCAGGATAATTGCTTGAACCCAGGAGGCAGAATGGGGGAATGCAGACTTATATGGGCATGGAGTTTCAGCTCTGGAAGATGAAAAAAAATTACAGAGATGGATAGTGGTGCTGGCTGCACAATGTGATTGTACTTAATGCCAGTGACCTGTACACATAAAATGGTGAGTTTCATATCTCTAGTTTGCTACAATTAAAATCTAGTCATGCAAAAATTATGGTCTAGAAAAGCTGTATTCCAAATTTGTGCATGTGGAGGGAGGTGGGCAATGGGACTGGGGAGAAAGAAAAGGGGGCTTTACTCAAGTTAGAATATTCTCTTTTGTATGTAGAAACCCAAAGCATAAATGGTACATGGCTAGCTTTTGTAAATTCTGTTACATGATTCTTTTAATGTCTCTTACTTTTTTTTTTTTTTTTTTTTTTGAGATGAGGTCTCACTCTGTCACCCAAGCTGGAATGCAGTGGAGTGATCTTGGCTCACTGCAACCTCCACCTCCTAGGTTCAAGCAATTCTCCTGCCTCAGCCTTCCGAGTAGCTGGGACTACAGGCATGTGCCACCATGCCCGGCTAATTTTTGTATTTTTAGTAGAGACAGGGTTTCACCATTTTGGCCAGGCTGGTCTCCAACTCCTGACCTCATGATCTGCCCACCTCGGCCTCCCAAAGTGCTGGGATTACAGGGGTGAGCCACCGTGCCTGGCCAAATGCCTCTTACTTTTAAAGAAACTTTTCAAAAGTAAAAGTAAAAAACAAAAATAATTCATGAACATTTTTGTAGGAAGAAGAGGTCTCTGAAGTAGTAATGCCCCGAAGTGGAGGATTTCTCACCCCACACCTCACCCCCAAAGCCACCCGAGTGCTGGGGGCTGAGTGTGGGAAACCTGCGAGCTGGTGCTGTGGAAGCTGTACCTTCGCCAGCAGAGCCTGGCAGGCCACAGGGGACGGAGATGGCAGGATGCTGTTTCCCTTGACCCAGGGCAGATGAGGAAAAGGCTGGCAGGAAAAGGTGTCTCTGAGAGCCAGTCGCCTTCTCAGGCACCCACTGCACAAGATCCAGAGAACAGATGAAACATAGGAACCATCAAAACACAGAAATGTGTATTATTAGCAGTGGGAGCAGGCAGTAGAAAGAGTTCTTTGAATCTGCTGATGACAAAATATATTGCTTAATCTTTCTGATTATTTTTTTTTCTTTGACCTCCCTGCATATCTCTGGCGCTCCCACAGCTATGGCTGTCTGCCTTGCAAAATACATATTTACAGGCCCTCTAAGACCAGCTAAATATAGGCTTTCTTTTAAAGCAACTGATGATTTGGAGAAATCTTTCCTCTGTCCCATCCCTTCCCCCACCCCCCAACACACACACACACACACACACACACACACACACACCCTGATTCCTCCTACTGAGTCTCCCTCCCCAGTCTCTAAGATGTATCTGAACTTTCCAAGAGCCACTAGAGCAAGTATGGGGAGTGAGATGCAAAGACTGATGTTCATTCTCAGCCATACCTACCGGGGCACGAGCATTCATACACACACACACACACACACACACACACACGTGCATGGATACCCTGCAATCAATAACACCCAACACACTGAGCCCCCTTTCTGTGCCTTAGGCATTGAGTACTCATTTATTCCTCAAAACAACTCTATGAAGTTGGTATATTATCTGCATCTTACAGATGAAGGAAATTGTTGAAGTCCCTTAGCTAGGGAGTGGCGAGCTGGGGACTCTAACAAAGGTGGTCAGGCTGCAAGGCCTGTGTTCTGCCCTGCTCCACAGACAAGGTCAGGGATGCCTAGGGTCATCCATGCTCAGGAGACACTCAGACAGTCAAGTGGAGCTTTTTGAGGAAACAGGCTTTGGGAGGTGACACGACTAGCCCATGGTCATCCAGCAAATGAGTGCAGCTAGGACTCAATTCAAGCCTCATGAACCCTAGCCGGTCTGTTTCCTCTCAAACTAGGTATGTCACTTCTCAGCTTTCTTCATTCTCCTTGTGAAGAGGTCAGCCAAGGGCCAGTAAAGGCCCCTCCAACACTGAGATCCTGGATTTGAGGTGTACACACATGAGCATACCTTTCCAGTATCCTAGAACCAGCCCAAATCCCTGGCAGAGGATAACCCATGAAGGAGAGCAGCTGGGTGGGGACCACTGGCTCACCACAAAAGGACCCAAGTGCAGGGTCTAGGCCAGCCTCTGCTTAGATAACCATGGCTAAGGAAAAACTGCTTTTAGAAGCTGAGTCTCAAGGCCCCAGGGCTGGAAAGAGAAGCCAGCCTTGGCACCCAGCCTGGGCCTGAGCCCAGGGCGCTGAGGGCTCAGGACTTATCACTCATCAGGCTTCTCCCAGCCTTCATCACCATCTTTGCAGTTACACCTGGTGTTTAAAACTAGCAAGCCTCAGGGAAGATTCCTAACACAGCATCTTCCCAAGGGCCCTCATCAGATTTGGGGGTGTATGGGAAAGCTGTGGGGCGGGGGTTACCAGGAGGAGAGTTGGGGGTGGATTATTTCTGCCTATTGCAGCCTCCAGCCTTTTTAGCAAGGGCTGAGAAAGGCATCTCCTTCCCCAGATCCTGTCTTCTGTGTCTGAGTCACTCTCATCTCTTTCTGGGGCTTCTTTTATGCTCCCAGATCACAGAGAAGGATAAGTGACTTGTCCAAGGTCACACAGCCAGTAAGCAGTGGAGCCAAGATTTGAACCCTGGCAGCCTGGCTCCTAGGCCAACCACTCTATGCCAAGGCAAAGGTAAGGAAGGAACATCCATCCAGTCCACCAGGCAACTTGGCCATCAAAGTCTCTTCCCCTAGGACAAAGGAAAGAGAAAGGGTGGTTAAATTATCCTGGGGTGCTGAACCGGAGGAATTAGGTGAAGATGACAGCCCTATGAATGAAAATTAGGTTTAAAGCCGTCAGTTTGGATGGTAACTCCCAAACCCTCCTTGTTCCTATCAGGTGTGATGACTGCTCTAGGCAGGCAGAGAGGGATGGACGGAATGATATCCCATTCCTCACCCATCTCACAGGCCAGCCAGCTTGGTGCCTGACACCAGAGAACAAGTGATGCTCAAGCACTTACCACTCCATAACAGCGTCTTCGGGAATTCTGGCCGGCGTGCTGTTCTGCTAACCAGGAGTCCGTGAAATAATAATCCCACTCATTAGCCTCAGTTGCCCAAGCTCTGGCTAGCTCTACCCTCTTGCAGCCCAAAACTCCTGGAGGTTTGTTAAAGGGGTTTGTCCAGAGATTCAGAAATCTTTGGACAAGGGAAACTCAACAGCATCCCCATAATTCCAGTTCGCTCCAAGCTGCTACCAGAGATGTTGGGGGTCCCAGGGTCTCAGCTCCTTCTTCCACCCTCAGAAACTGGGGGCCTCCCCACCTGGCCAGAAGCGTGGGCACAGGGCACAGACCATTGGGCTGGGACCAGTTAAGATGACACCACCATGGGTGTGGGAGATTCTGGGCAGAACACAGGGACCTGCACCCTCCTCCAATCCACACAAAAGCTTCTGAGGACATTGCCCAAACTTCCAAACCCCAACGGAGTGAGATTTCTGTCTTCTCTGGACTTCTGTATTGAGCTTGAAGGGCCTGTGGGGAAGAAGTTTCAAGACCCAATCTGGAGCTTGGAAATCTGAGTCCCAAAGCTTGCTTCTGACAGAGACCTTCTAAGAAGGGTTATGGGGGAGGCTGCTTCACCCTGTCCCATCCCAAAGTGCAAAACTGAAGAAGGGAAGTTTCCTGGGCAGCTGGGTAATGATGCAGGTGGCATTTGGAAAGCCTGAGGTTTGGGGTCATTTCTGGTTCCAGCTCAGAACCCAGATCTTCCCTCCTCAGCACCAGGCTCAGGATCAGTCCTGCCGTTCCTGGCCCCTCCTCCTCCCAATATCAGGGTTCCCAGGCAGCTTCCCCACACCCCATCCCCCACGCTGTACTCTAAGCTCTTTTGCACATGGTAACGCATTAATATCCCACAAAACCCACACACACCCCTGCAGTGGAGTGGTAGGAGGGCTCCCTTTGCCAGCCCTTCCAGGCCAGAGGGGAGAGAGTGGGAGATTGGGAAAAGGAGGAAGAGGATGGAGGGGAAGAGGGCGGGGGAGGAGGCAGAGGCCGCAGAAAGGCCTGAGATGCAGGAAGCAGCTGGGAGTGGGGGAGAGGCTTTGTGCCTGAGTTGTTCTCTGGGTCCTAGGGCCCATTGTGTTCGCCAGTTGCTGGGTCGTGTGCACTGAAGCAGCGCACCTGGACCTGTCCAGAGGGTGGACCCTCACACCCAGGGCCCAGGCAGCCCCAGCACCCTAGCTGTGTAGGCGAGGGGTGCAGAGATCATCAAACAGCTTTCTGGGCTGCCAGGACAGGGGATGTGTACGTCACTGTCACCCTCCCCACCCCCCACCCCCGCCCCACCAGAACCCAGTGGCCAGGATCCTTTAAATCAGAGACCCAAGTTAGAGTTCTCACTGGGGAAACTTTGGCCCCAGGCCTCTAGAATTCCTGCTCCAAAACCCTTCCTTCCGGTTTGAGAGGCAGGAGTGCCAGGGTAGGGGCCTGAAGACTGGGGTTCTACCCGCTCTCTTCCAACCTGGGGTGCAGAGTAGACAGGCGACAGGACATCCGCTTCAGATTTCTAAAGGACAGTTTTGGGGATCCCCTGCTACTTGGGTGACGGGGTCCACCTCCTTTCTTCACCACTCCTCTCCCCTGCATCGAAAGGTCAGCCACGCTGGGCCAAGGTTTCACATCTCCAAGAGTGCCCAAGATTCCCGATAGTGAAGTATTAAAATGCAGATTCTGGGGTTCAGCCTCTGAGATTCTCCTTCACAAGGTTCGAGGGAGCGCCCAGAAATCTGTATTTTTACCAAGTGCCCAGAGATTCTGATGCTAAAACCTTGAAGTACACCGATGAGCCAGCTCCGAGGACCCACCTCTGCCCCTCCCCACAAACCGCCTCACACTGAGACCATCGTGGATGTACTGCCTTCCCCCCAATATTTCATTGGGGGTGCGGTTCTGTGGGCTGTGATAAGCCGCAGTCAGAGGTTGCGATGGAAGGGTCGAAGAGGGCTGGCCAAGGTCCGGAGGCAGCGGAAGACTCTCGGCAAGGGCTGGGGAGGGGAGGGGATCCGTTCGGGTGGAGGGGAAGGGGAGGGCTCACAGGCTCCGGCCCCGGAAATCCGATCCCTTTAGGACCCAGAGGTGCCAGTCCCCCAGCGGCGGCGGCGAGAAGGGCAGCCGCTCGGTCTCCGGCAGCAGCCGCTCGGGCAGAGCCAGAGAAAGACCGAGGCTCGGGGCACGGGGGGGAGGGAGGGAGGGAGGGAGGCGCGGCGGAGCGGCCCGGGCCGGCGGAGCAGCCATGGGCGCCGGGGTGCCGGGCCCCCCGAGAGCCGAGGCCTCCGGCCGGACTGGGGAACGCCCGGGCTGCCAGCCCCGCTGACACCGCCTCGGACGATGTGAGCCGGCGACGCCGCGGCTGCTTCGCGGGCAGGGCGCGCGCTCCCACCGGCCCCAGCCACCGCTTTGCTAATTTGGGTGGGGGCGACCGTACCAGGCCGCTCGGGCTTTCGAAGCGGGGCTGGCTGTCTTCGGCAGCTTGATTGGGGGAGGCGACCCACACACAGGGCGCTTGGAGATTTTTTTTTTTCTTTTTTTAAAAAAGCGGGATTAACTGTTTTTGGCAGCTTGGTTTTGGGGGGACCCTAAAAAAGGCCTCCTGGGGTTTCTTTTATCGGGGGGAGGGGGCGGTGGTCCCGACTTGGCCAGCCGCCTGTTGAAGGTGGGGAGCGGGGAGCGGGGGGATGCGAACCCGGCTCCCCCCACTATGATGAAGACGGAGCCGCGGGGGCCCGGGGGTCCCCTCCGGAGCGCCTCCCCGCACCGCAGCGCCTACGAGGCGGGCATCCAGGCACTGAAGCCGCCCGACGCGCCCGGGCCCGACGAGGCACCCAAGGGGGCCCACCACAAGAAATATGGCTCCAACGTCCACCGCATCAAAAGTATGTTCCTGCAGATGGGCACGACGGCGGGGCCCTCGGGCGAGGCGGGCGGCGGCGCGGGCCTGGCCGAGGCCCCGCGGGCGTCCGAGCGCGGCGTGCGCCTGTCGCTGCCGCGGGCCAGCAGCCTGAACGAGAACGTGGACCACAGCGCCCTGCTGAAGCTGGGCACCAGCGTGTCGGAGCGCGTGAGCCGCTTCGACTCCAAGCCCGCGCCCTCCGCGCAGCCCGCGCCGCCGCCGCACCCGCCGTCCCGGCTGCAGGAGACGCGGAAGCTGTTCGAACGGAGCGCCCCGGCGGCCGCAGGCGGCGACAAGGAGGCCGCGGCGCGGCGGCTGCTGAGACAGGAGCGCGCCGGCCTGCAGGACCGGAAGCTGGACGTGGTGGTGCGCTTCAACGGCAGCACCGAGGCGCTGGACAAGCTGGACGCCGACGCCGTGTCCCCGACGGTCAGCCAGCTCAGCGCCGTCTTCGAGAAGGCCGACTCGAGGACCGGCCTCCATCGCGGGCCCGGGCTCCCCAGGGCCCTAGGAGCGCCCCAGGTCAACTCGAAGCTGGTCAGCAAGCGGTCACGGGTGTTCCAGCCGCCGCCGCCGCCCGCCCCGTCGGGGGATGCCCCAGCCGAGAAGGAGCGCTGTCCCGCAGGGCAGCAGCCCCCGCAGCACCGAGTGGCCCCCGCTCGGCCGCCCCCCAAGCCCCGGGAGGTGCGCAAGATTAAGCCGGTGGAGGTGGAGGAGAGCGGGGAGTCGGAGGCCGAGTCGGCGCCAGGGGAGGTGATCCAGGCGGAGGTGACGGTCCACGCGGCCCTGGAGAATGGCAGCACCGTGGCAACCGCAGCCAGCCCCGCGCCCGAAGAGCCAAAGGCCCAAGCGGCCCCGGAGAAGGAGGCGGCGGCGGTGGTTGCGCCGCCAGAGAGGGGGGTGGGCAATGGCCGGGCCCCGGACGTGGCCCCCGAGGAGGTAGATGAATCCAAGAAGGAGGACTTCTCGGAGGCGGACTTGGTGGACGTGAGCGCCTACAGTGGGCTCGGGGAGGACTCTGGGGGCAGTGCCCTGGAGGAGGACGACGAAGAAGACGAAGAGGATGGGGAGCCCCCCTACGAGCCCGAGTCGGGGTGCGTGGAGATCCCGGGGCTCTCGGAGGAGGAGGACCCGGCCCCGAGCCGGAAGATCCATTTCAGCACGGCGCCCATCCAAGTAAGTGAGCCCCCTCTCCCCGCCCCCGCACCGCCCCTGCCACGTGCACGCGGCCGCCCCCGGCTCGCCAGCCAGCCGGCTTTGGCAGGCTGAGTCAGCCCCTGCCACCCAGCCCCCTTACCAGAAGTTCCCACCCTCGAGGGGGGGGGGCGTGGGGGAGTTCCAGCTGTTTGTCAGAGAGGGATTTTCAGGTGTGCGAGGGGGGCTGGCCTGCCCTGACCTGCCCTCAGGTTCCTCCGCCTTCTGCCCCGCCCCGACGCTCCGCAGAACCCGCCCTGCCCCACGCAGGTCCTGGGACACCTGCTTTCCCTTCCTCGTCCAGACATTCCTTCCTCCAGAGGCTGTCAGAGGCTGGAGCTTGGGTAGTGTGAAGGGGTGTGTGTGTCTTCAGGAGAGACATTTGTCCTCCACTGTGGAGAGACGGGTCAAGGGTGCTTTCCCCCTGTATGGGAGCTGGATGGGGTGAGAAAGGGGAAAGCCAGGAACTTCTCAAAACAAAGCTGCAGGGGACCGCAGCCCTTCCTCCATTCTGTTTGTACCCCCACCTCAACTTTGCAGAAGTGAAAGAGGGAAGCGGATCGTGAGGGTGAGCTGGTCTGTGGCCATGTGACTGGCTGGCGCGGTGCTCCCTGGGGGTCCCTGCGGGCCGGCTGCCCGGTCCTGGTTGCACAGGGAGGGGCACTTTGTGTGGCCCTTGATGGGGAGAGGCTTTCTGCAGGCATGGAGGAGGGGGTGGGGCTGGGATGCCCCTGGGTGCCGGGCAGTAGTAGGCATGCCTGTGCTCTTGGCTGCTGAATAGGACAGACTCCCATGGCCTTGGCAGGCCCCAAGTGTTCTTGCCACATTCTTTGGGAGCCCGGAAAGAGGGGTGGGAGCTGCGCCTTTTGGGGGGGTCTCATCCTACCGTCACTATTGGTGGTTGGTTTGTGGGTTGTGCCAGAGCTTTGAGATCCTCAGAACAGTGCTGATGGTGAGGGGACGTCTCCTGGGGGAAATAAAAAACCCCAGGCCACCCCTCCCCCCACTTCCCACCACCCTCCACTCTTGGCTGACACATTCAGCCTGCACGGTTCTTTCTCACCGCCCCAGGCGCGGCTGCGCCTGGCCCCAGGTCCGCCCCATGGAAGTGTCCAGGCCCCTGGACTCTCCTTGGCCTGGCCCTGCCTGGCCTTTACCCTTCCCCAGCCAAACCACCATCTATTTGCTTGTCGTTTCCATAACAACTCCTGGACTCTGAAGCTGCCCAAGTTTCCTCTCACTCGCCCAGAGTATCAGCCTCTGGCCCTCTCCCACCTCCCACCCCAGCAAGAGGCCAGGAAGGTTTAAAGTGAGTGGCTGCTCTTCCCCTCCCAGGCCAGCCCCTCCCCTGGGCTGGGAACTGAGGGGTCCTCTCCCCACCCCTCTCCCCTCCTGAAGGCAGTGGGGTTCTGAAGGGAATGGGGGACTGTAGTGTTCCTTGGGACTTTGAAGGAGTTTGGACTCCCCCGCCCCAACTAATTCTGCGAGCAGCCTGGTGCCCTCAGAGATGGAGTTTGGTCTGGGCCTCTGACTATCTATATTTGACGCCTTACCCTGATTTTTTGGTAAAAAATAGCACATGATTTGGAGCAGTGCTTCCCGGCTCCCTGATGACTCTGGAGCTGGCCCGCCCTGTGTGAGAGCCAGGGTGTGTGGCGGGCCCAGCGTGGCTGACTTTCAGCCTCACTGGGGATTTCCTCCTCCCTACCCTGGCACGGGGCCCCACTTTTTCTTCTTCTTGCCCCTGCCTTGATGCCAAGTCCAGGGTCCCAGGCCCCAAGGATGACCCAGTTTTTGCCCTTCTGGAGGTGGAGGCCTCTGCTGAGGGCAGAGAACCCAATTCCAGATTGGCGGTGGCCCCAGGGAGGTGGGACTGCACTTAGGGCCCTCTGCTAGGAGTGGTAGGGGTGGTCCGGCCTCTGAGCCCAGGCCTGGGATTCCTGCAGGGGGCAGGGCCGGAAAGGGAACAGGATTTCATAGGCTGAGAGAAGAGGGGAGGGTGCAGCCCAGGACAGGCTGTGAGGGTGTGTTCTGGAGGTCACAGTGGGTGTGTGTGTGTCCCTGTGTGTCAGGGAGGGGTTTGGTTGACCCAGGAGACTGTAGAGACTGAAGGATGAAGGGACCCTGTATCCTAGAGCAGAGGGTGAGAGTCAGGCGGCCCCAATGCAAAGTGGGCCAAATCCCACGCTGAGTCCAGGCTCACCCCAGCCCTGTCCCCGGGCCTGGGGCATGTGTGCAGTGGGGGCAGAGTCACTGGTGACCCACCCACTGGGGCTCAGCTGGGTGCAGTCTCATCCTGCCTGGCCACAGTCTAACCCTTGTGACCTTGGGCAGTGGGCCTGGTACCCCGAACTGTGTGCAGAGTGGGCAGCCTGTTTCTCTAAGGGGTGCAATGGACAGATGACCTTTAAGGGCTGGAGCCGGAGTCCCTGATGCTGTGAAATTGAGGGCACTGAGCTAAGTGACCAGAGGGGTCCCTCCCACCTAAGGCTTTAGTACTATGAACACCCCCCTCTCTCCCACAGCAGCAGTGAGCCTCTCTGGTAGAGGGTGAGGACGACACGGAGCAAGCCCAGACAAAGGCAAGGACACAGGAGTGCTGCTGCCCACCAGGGTGCCCATAGGGCCTGCTCCTGGAAGAGATAGGGCCCTGGCAGAGGCTCCTGGGGGAGATGGGACCCCAGTCTGGCTCCTCAGGGCTCAGACTCGGCCATCTGATAGAGCTCTTCCCCACCCCTCCCTGCCCCCACCTGGCTCCAAGTGGTGCCAACCTGTCGCTGCAGGCAATGAAGCTCAAGCATGTCATGGTACCCCAAATGGTACTCATTAACCTCCCATGGGGGGCACCCCTGCCTGGGCCCAGAATTAGACATTCCCACAGAGCCCAGCCCCACGTCTGTTCTTCCGGGAGGGTCAGAGCTGAGGAATTCCGCTTTTTGCTGAGAGACACAGGAGAGACAGCAGACGGGTACAGGAGATGCCAAGGCACGGCTGGCCTCAGCCCCCATGTCGCCTGGGTTCCCTGTGGGCAGTGTCAGAGGCTGTCCTCTACTCTGGCTCCTTGGTCTCTCCTGGTCCCCTGGCACGTGGGGACTGGAGGTGTAACTCAGAGAGCTTCGGCTGTGGAGGGAGTCTGGCCTGGGTGTGCAGGGAAGGCCTCAGGGCCTAGCTTTTCCCCATTCTTGCCACCTGAGGGACTCCTGGGTGTGGAGGGCCTGCCTTTTCTCCATGGGGCTAGAGGTGGCCCTTCCTGCTTCCCTCCGCTGCCCCAATACCCACTTGAGCAGCAAGTCAGAGCCAGTCCTGGGTGCCTCTCCCCTTCCACCCCTCCTGCTCCCCTCCCCCTCTGCTGTCTCACACCCGCTCCCCCCTCTCTCCCCATCTGGCATCCTCCAGCATCTTCTCCATCCTCTCTCCCCTCCTCCTCTTCCCCTCTTCTGCTCAGCCTGTTCCTTCCTCTCTGTGCCTGTCTTTGTGTCCCCTCTCGCCTGTCTGGCTCTCTGGGTCCTATCTGTCACTTTCCCTCTCTCTGGTTTCTGGGTTCCTGAGTTGGATGTTTCTCCAGGATTCCCCTTGTGCGCCTATGGCAGACCATGCTCATGGTGGCTGGAGCTGCAGAAAGAATAGCAGTGCCAGTCGGCGAAGGCCGGGTCCCTTTCTGTCTTGACCCTGGGCTCCAGACACAGAAGAGCCTTTGCTCAGAGCTGGGGTTTCTGGGGGCTGGGTGAGGCCTCATATCAGGGCTGTCTAGTGGGGGCCAAAGGAGGGGAGCGGGATGTTGGGTGGTAGCTCGGCCTACCTCCTCGGCCTCCCCGTGCCAGTTCTGCCCTTGCCCTCTTGCCGGCCTCTCTGACCAGCTGCCTCCCTCCCCAGGTGTTCAGCACCTACTCCAATGAGGACTACGATCGTCGCAACGAGGATGTGGATCCTATGGCAGCCTCTGCTGAATACGAGCTGGAGAAGCGGGTGGAGAGGCTGGAGCTGTTCCCCGTGGAGCTGGAGAAAGGTGAGAGGCCCGGGGGCCAGGCCACCTGGACGCAGCGGGCTTGACCTGGGTTTCATCTCCGGCTCCAACTCCTGCCCTGTGCCCTCAGGGGCGCCTACAGACTTGCTGGGCCTCTCCCTCTGACTCAGGCCCTTGGTGACTTCTCTGTTGCTCCCCTGTCGGCACCCAGCGCCACACAGGGACTCCAACCCAGGCCAAGCCACACCCCACCACGTGGGACCACATTTGTACATTCAGGCAACACAGGTCTCTGTAGGGTACTCTGTGCTGGGTCCTGAGAGGCCTGGCGCTCCCAGGGAGGTGAAATGGAGGCGGGAGGTGGCTGAGGGGCCCATCCTCCTCCATCTCCCTCAGCAGGCCAGCCTGAATCTCCCCTTGTGTGAAGAGCAAGGGCTTCAGGGGACACAGGTCTCTGTAGGGTACTGTGTGCTGGGTCCTGGACTCTGTGTTGGAGACACAGTGATGGGCTCTCGGGGAGATGGATGGGGGAGCAGATATGGAAGGCACCCTTAGGTGCTGGAGTAGGGGCTGGAGAGGGAAGAGAGGTGCTGCTACAAATCATTAAACAGGTGACGTCACCTGCCTGGGTTTGGGGGCATTCCCCAGGAAGTGAGAGTTGAGTGGCGCTCCGGCGAGGAGGACTTGGGGGAGCAGACAGGAAGGGGCTTGGCTGCACGTTCACTGGGAGGGGAACAAGGGCGTGCGAACGAGGCCTTGCAGACCACGTGGTCTTGTTGCTGAGATGGATTGGGAGCCATTTCCAGTCACAGGAGAGGTCTAGAAAGACCACGCCAGGCTGTGATGTAGAGAAGGGGTCACGAGTGGATGGAGAAAGACGACTGTGGCATGGACAGGAAGACGGCAGAGCGGGTGTGGGTGGACTGGAAAGATCCCGGAGGCGGGGGAGAATCTGCAAGATCTGGGGGTTGTTCGGCTCAGGCAGAGGCTGTGACGGGGAGGGAGGAATCTAGGTGCCTCCCAGGCCTGGCAGGCAGCAGGTGGTGGTGCCATCTCCCATGAGGGTGTGTTTGTGGGGGAAGGTCCTGAGTTTGGACGTCAGAGGCCCATTCGTAGGCAGGGGCAGGTATGGATAGGGGAATGGACCTGAGAGGAGAGAAAATCTGGAGGTCTTTGCCGTGAGTACAGATGAGATGGGTTAAGAGGGAGAAGACCAAAAATAAATAAATAAACAAATAAATAAATAAAAAGAAAAGAGGGAGAAGACCAGACTCCGCCCTGAGCCTTTGGTCTTCTCCCTTTTAACCAGTGGGCAGCCATGTTTGCCAAGGGTGGCACAGGCAGGTAAGACTGTTGTAATATGCAGATGAGGAGGTGTGGCTGGGATGGGGATGGCCAGCCACACCCCCTCATCTGCATATGTGCGTCTTTACCTGCCTGTGCCACCCTTGGCAAACACTGCTGCCCACTGGTTCTCTGGAAGGGACAAGGGCAGGGAGTGGCTCAGGAACCATCCTAGTGGGCTTGGCAAAGAAGGTGGACAGACCATTCCCCTTCTTCAGTTGGGGGACAGCCCCTAATGGGGACTGCTTCCTAATGGGGGGGCTGTGCCCTGGAATTCAGGGTGGAGAGCCTCTCGCCTGTCCTCTGTAAGCCCTCCCATCTCACCACTCTGTTCCACAGACTCCGAAGGCCTGGGCATCAGCATCATCGGCATGGGGGCCGGGGCGGACATGGGCCTGGAGAAGCTGGGCATCTTCGTCAAGACAGTGACGGAGGGCGGTGCGGCTCATCGGGATGGCAGGTACCACCCCATCCTCCCCACGCTCCCCGACCCTTTTTCCCTCCCTGACCGGCCATCCTCGGTGGGGTGGGCCACTGAGCAGGTGGTGGGGCCGATGGGAGCTGTAGGCAGGTGTTGTGCGTCCTGGTCTGGAGTATGATTTGGACCTTGGTCGGGAGAACAGAGGCATGGAGCCTGTATGCCTGACAATGCTGGGCTGGTGGCTGGCACTGGGCCCTGGGGAGTCAGTGGTAAGGGCCTGGCCCTGGAGCAGTGTGCAGTGTAGTGTGAGGTAGACATAGTAGACACACAGCAAAACAGTGGTGAATTGGAGGGAAACGCAGGCTGCTATGAAGGAATACACCAGGAGGGCGTGACCTCTCTGGGTATCAGGGAAGGCTTCCTGGAGGAAGTGATGCTGGAGCTGAGAGGTAAAGCTGAGCAGGAGTTAGCTATGCTGAGGGAGTGAGTGCAGAGGTTCCAGGCAACAGAGCCAAGAGCAGGCAGGTGTGGCTGGAGCATAGAGAGCAGGGCCGGGAGGCTGTTACTGGACACTGGTGGCGGTGGCTCTGGAGACAGGCTGTCTTTGAGCATGTGAGTGTGTGCGTGCCTAGGTTGAGCATCTGTGCTTGCAGTGGGTGTTCTGACAGAAGTTTCGGGGAGGGCATCCTGGAACTGTGTGCCAGCCAAGGACCCCTCTGTTAGCTGTGTATGGCAGGGTGTGGGGAGGGGCAGTAGGAAGGGCTGTAGGGCATCCCCCCAGGGTGGCTGTAAGTTAAGAGGTTGACATTGGGGATCTTTTGTGGTGGTACCTCCAAACCCAGACCCCCTCTGTGTGACAGAGGTGAGTAGGTGTCCTTGTGCAGCTGGGTGACTTTGGGATCTTGTCGCTAGGGATGGGGCTGCCCTGTCAAGGGGCTTCTACTTGTTGTAGCCCGGGTGGCCTGGAGAGGGGCAGGGAACAGGATAGGTGGCATTCCCTGCCCTTTCATGTACCCCTTCGCCTCCTGAAGTGAACTTCCAGAGCCTTTCCCGTTGTCGCCCGTGGGTTAGCTAAGGAGTGAGCGCGCATGCGCGGCCGTGTCCACTCACTCATGCCCGTGGGGGAGTCGGGTGTGTTGGCGAGAGCTGTGGACAATAGGCCATTTCCTCCGTCTCTGCATTTCCGAGTGGGAGTCCTGAGAGAAGGCCTAACGCTCCCAGGGAGGTGAAGTGGAGGCGGGAGGTGGCTGAGGGGCCCATCCTCCTCCATCTCCCTCAGCAGGCCGGCTGGAACCTCCCCTGTGTGAAGAACAAGGGCTTCAGGGGACACAGCTGGTGTGTTGGGAGGTGCACCTGTATCAGGTGTGCGGGGCAGTGTGTGAACTCGAGGGTGTGCCGTTCGGTCTCGGGCACTTGGGAGGATGTCTGTGCACTTGGCTCTGTGCAGAAATGTACATGTAAGAGGGTGGCATGTCACTTGTGTGCTGTGGGATGCCTGGCCGGTGTGCATGGCGGAGACGAACTCTGAGAATGTCACACCGCTTGATGGAGTATGATGGAGGAGGGGACAAGAGTGTGATTGGTGATTGTCACAGTAGGTGTGCCTGCTACCTCTCCGGGTCCCGGACGCCTGTATCTGCTTTGCTTGCTTGGCTCTCACTGCCCACACAGGGGGGCCTGGCTGATACCTAATCCTCTGGCCTCATGAATTTTGTGCAGGTAGACAAAGTACTAGGTCCCTGTGGGGACAAAGTCTCTGTAAGGTTTTTTGTTGTTTTCTTTTCTTTTCTTTTCTTTTTTTTTTTTGGAGACAGGATCTCACTGTGTTGCCTAGGCTGGAGTGCAGTGGCTCAAACACAGCTCACTGTAGCCTTGATCTCCCTGGCTCAAGTGATCCTCCCACCTCATCCTCCCAAGTAACTAGGACTACAGGCACATGCCACCATGCCCAGCTAACTTTTTAAAAAAAATTGTAGAGATGAGTTCTCACTATGAATCCAGGCTAGGGAGCCTGGAGTTTCTGGTGGGAGGAGGCTACCTATACCCCCACTCCATGGTTCCCCTTGCGACCCCTTAACCAATGTCACTCCCCTAGGATCCAGGTGAATGACCTCCTGGTGGAGGTGGATGGAACGAGTCTGGTGGGAGTGACCCAGAGCTTTGCGGCATCCGTGCTCCGGAACACCAAGGGCCGAGTGCGGTGAGAGCCCAGGGGGGTGGGGCGTGGGAGTGGGCAGGAGGTCCTCGTCCAGGAGCTCCAGTCTTCTGCCTACAGCCAGTTAAGGTTCTGGTGGCCCAGCTCACAGAGGCTCCGCTGACTCCTTGGCTGCAGGAGCTGCTGTCCCTGGGTCCCTTGCCTCACACCTGCCTTCTCACTGGCCAGTGCTGCCCACCAGCACTCAGGCTTCATGGCCCACTGTCCACCACCCCTCCAAACTGTCCTCTAGGGCTTATTCTCTTTCCCCCTGCCTGGCCCCAACTCACTGATTGAAGAACCAGGATGTCCAGGGTGAATGCCAGCCACATTAGAGTCCCCTCATTGGGACCTCATCCCTCCATCCTGACCAGCCCATATCATCCTGGGAAGACTCCTCCCCAGGCCTGTAACCAAAGGGACTGGATCAGGAGCTCCCTGTGTCCACTCCACTTCTGGCTGAACATTCAGAGATCACTCCCTGCCCCCCTGCAAGAGGGGCACTACCCCCAGGAAAGGGTGGTGGAGAGAAACAGGATGTGGGTGGCCACCGGGAGGAGGGGCTGCTGCCTGGAAGTTCCACTGTTTCCTCTCCATCCTAATCTCCAGTTGCCATCATCCCGCCCCTTCCTGAAGCTCAGGGGCTTGGAGCATACCCAAGACACACCTCCACAGCCCATCCCTGCTGGGAGGGTCATCTTCACCTTTCCCTGCCTCATTTTCTCCCCCATGGCTGGGGAAGAGCCTCCTGAACACACGTCCCCTGCAGCCCAACCTAGAGGTGGGCTGACATTTCCCTCCTGCAATACTGGCCAGAGGGATGAGTGGGCCTTCCTGCCTCCCTTGGGAAGGAAACCTGATGAGGGTCCCCATTCCCCCATTCATTATTAACACGGCAGCCTTCAGACTCAACCCTCTCATCTCTCCTCCCCTGGGAGGGCCTGAGTTTGGAGAGGGGAGCACCAGCAGGGAGGGTGGTGACATTACCCGGCTGAGGACAGAGACAGTGGATGATGCCAGTGCCCCTGCAGGTTTATGATTGGCCGGGAGCGGCCAGGAGAGCAGAGCGAAGTGGCCCAGCTAATTCAGCAGACTTTGGAGCAGGAGCGATGGCAGCGGGAGATGATGGAGCAGAGATACGCCCAGTATGGGGAAGATGACGAGGAGGTAGGGAGTCCCTGCCTGGCTGGCCGCGTGGTCGCCCCCTGGTGGCTAGATGAAGCCTTACAGTCATCTGCCTCTACTGCTACCTCTGCCCTGGTAAAAAGTCTACAGTGCCCTTCCCTCTCCTGCGGTCACTCTTCAGAGGCCGGACAAGGAATCACAGTCCCCTCATAGAGCCCCCAGTCTGAGGGGAGAGCGTAGCCCCTAGCCTTGGGGGACCTGATCTGAAGAGGAAGATAGATCCGGAAGGGCAAAGACAGTACAGGCTAATGGTGAACTCCCTCTGCCATCAGGGGCTACCCAGGCTATTTGGGAAGACAAACTGTGTCTCTGGTGCAGCCTTAGGCTGAAGCGGGAGGCACGAACCACACCCCTGGGGAGCCCTCTGTCTGGCATGGGCAGACTGGTCCCAGCCCTGGTCATCAGGGCTGACGGCAGCTGGGTGGGGAGGGCCCACAGCCTCCGGTCTCCCTTTGCAGACAGGAGAGTATGCCACTGACGAGGATGAGGAGCTGAGCCCCACGTTCCCAGGTGGCGAGATGGCCATTGAGGTGTTTGAGCTAGCGGAGAACGAGGATGCGCTGTCCCCTGTGGACATGGAGCCTGAGAAGCTGGTGCACAAATTCAAGGAGGTAGGAAGAGGGGCTTCCTGGAGGTGGAGGGAAAGGCAGGCAGGTCTCCTGCCCTCGGTACTCCCTGCCCCACCCCACTGGAGCTGAGTGCCTGCCCCTCTGCCCAACAGCTCCAGATCAAGCATGCGGTCACCGAGGCAGAGATCCAGCAGCTGAAAAGAAAGGTGAGGGTGCTTTTGCGTGCGTGCGTGTGTTTAGCAGGGGCCCCCACCCTCACACCTGCACATGCTGACACTTGGGCACAGGCACCCACAGAACAGGCTGCTCTGAAGCAAGAAGACATGATATTAAGAGCTCAAGATCTGGATCCGTCTGCTCCACCATCACTTGGGGACGTTTGCAGCAAACACTGGCAGGTGTCTGTGCCTCCTCATGCATAAAGTGGGGTCATAATATAACCAACGCTACAGGGTCATTGTAGGATTAAATGAGATAATATATGTCAAGTCTTTAGCACAATGTCTGACATAACAGGTTCTCAATAAAAAGGTCAAAGTAATGGTGAGCCCAAAGTAATGGGCTCACTGGCTCATGCATGTAATCTCAGCACTTTGGGAGGCCAAGGCGGAGTGCTTAAGCCTAGGCATTAGAGACCAGCCTGCAGCATGGCAAAAAACTATCTCTATAGACAATCCAAAAATTAGCCAGGTGTAGTAGCGCACACCGGTGATCCCAGCTATTCGGATGGCTGAAGTGAGACGATCACTTGAGCCAGGGTAAGTCGAGGCTGCAGTGAGCCATGATTGTGTCACCGTACTCCACTCCAGCCTGAGACAGAATGAGACCCTGCCTCAAAAGAAAAAAAGTCAGCATACTAGCTGTGATACTATTCTGCTCTAGATGTCTCTGTGTACTGTCCCACATGTCTGCTATAAATAGGCCCATTGATAATACAGACCACCCAGAAATACACAACACTGACACATAGTACCCACAGACCCCCTCACCCAGACACAGAGACACCCACTCTACACAGACACGGTCACAGAGACAGTGGACCCGTGTTTCACGTGACATTACACTCAGGGCTATCAGCCTGGATACGCAGACCCACTCTGCACCCATCTACTCTGAAACAATGCAGGCATGGCCATCGCTCAGACTGCCTGGTCTAGGAAGTGTCACGGGACATGCACGTTCTCACCTGGGCAAGCAACACAGAGATGCTGATGCTGACACCATCAGATGGAGACGCATCTCACAACACACACACACACGTACCGTGCACAGATGCTTACATAAGCATGTGGGGTACCAGCACCCTCACAGGCATGTGGATATACAGACTTCTTTTTCTTTTTTTTTTTTGAGGCTGGAGTGCAGTGGCATGATCTCGGCTCACTGCAACCTCCACCTCCCAGGTTCAAGCAACTCTCCTTCCTCAACCTCCCAAGTAGCTGGGCTCACAGGTGTGCATCACCACACCTGGCTAATTTTTGTACTTTTAGTAGAGACGGGATTTCACCATGTTGGCCAGGCTGGTCTTGAACTCCTGACCTCAGGTGATCCTCCCACCTTGGCCTCCCAAAGTGCTGGGATTACAGGCATGAGCCACTGTGCCTAGCCCAGGCTTCATATGAAATGTCGGCATGGGACCTGGACTATAGGAGTCCCAATACCTATGGGGTTTCTGCCATGGTGGGGAGAAACAGATCTGCAGGATCTGTGTACCCCCCACGTGAGGGTATGCAGGAGAGGAGGGCGGGGTTTGGATGGCTGGGGCAGAAGCAGGGGCATTCCTGGCAGGGAGAGGAACTCCATGGAGCTTGGAGGCTGGCTTTGGGAGGAGGCCAGCCAGGAGGTAGCAGCATGCCTGCTGGGGAGAGGTGGAGGCAGGGCTGGACTGCCAGGGTGGGCCTTGGCTTGCAGTGTCCTGCCTCCCCTCTAAAGACTCTAGCCTTGGTCCTGTAGGTAGCATGGGGTTCTGTGGCCATTGAGATTGTTTTGAAATCATGAGAGTGGGCAGGGCTGAGAGGCAGGCAAACTGGTTAGGGGCCTAGACAGTATCCTGGCAGGGGTGGGCCAGGCCTGGAAAGGAAGGGTGGGTTAGTGCTCCATTTCCGGGGTCAGAATGACAGGCCATGCCCCTGGGGTGTACACAGAGTATGAAGGGAAGGGGCACGTGCGTTCCACTTATAAACACTCACTGAGTACCTTCTAGATGCCCAGTACTGTTCCCGTCACCATGATGGGCAAAGCCAGACTTGATCATGGTTCTTGTGCATCTGCAAACCAGTGACTATCGTCACAGTGGCATGGGGCTCTGTAGGAGACGACAGGCTTTCTGAGCTCCTAAAGCAGGAGGAAGCTGATTTGGGTGGTGGTAGGGGTAGGGCTGTGCTGTTGGAGGGAGCTGTGGGGACTTCTCTGGAGAAGTGACACACTGAGCAGAGGGCCGAAGGGTAAGCTAGTGGGAAATGACTAGGCAGGCAGGAGGGTACATGGGGGACATTCCAGGCAGAGGAGACAGCACACACAAAGGCCCTGTGGCAAGTCCGAGGATCCGCAGGAAGGTCTGTGTGGCTGGAGGACAGAGAACAGGGGACATGTGCAGCAAACATTAGCAGGCAGGGGCCTGAGACTGAGTGCCAGGATGGCTGTGAGGTTGTGGCGCCTTTTAACAGAGCAAGTCAGGAAAGGATGCACAGGTTTGTACAGTCAGGAGAGGAGGCGTAGGTTTGTGCAGCTGGGGGGTCTGCTTTGGGGCATGGTACCTGGGAGGAGCTGGGAGCTAAAGCTGGAATGGGAGCAAGGGTGGGCTGTGATTTGGGATTTTCGGCTCAGAATGCACCGAGGTGGTATGGGAGATGAGCCAGTGCCCCAGGGCAGTGAGTAGAGAACAGAGGATCCAGGATGAGCTGTGGGGGACTGGAGGTCAGCACTGGGGTCGCCTGGAAGCTGGGAGAGGAAGCAGGATTGTTCAGGATGCCACAAGAACAGAGACTGGTGAGCAGGGCTGGGGCTGCAGAGAGGGGACAGAGAACATTGGTGACCTCCATCTGCCCTTTCACTTTGTATCTACTGTATCACTGTAGCTTTTGTGCTTCTGTGAGCTTGGGAGGCACATATCACTCCCATTTTATGGATGGGATAACTGAGGCTTCGAACATTAGTTGCATTGCCCCAAGCCAGAGTAGTCAGTGACTAACCGAAGCCTCTGGTCTCCCTGCGAGTGGAGTGCAGTGACAGGGAGTCTGGTGGGAGCTCTGAGGCTGAGCTCTACTTTCCTCTCTCGGTTTCAGTTCTCAGGCTCAGCCAAAGAGGGTTAGTAGTTGGGGTGCAGTGGACTCCACAACTGTAGGAGTTTGCTGGAGACTCTGGCCCCAGTGCTGGGATGGGGGTGCTCTTTGGCTTCTGCTGGCCGCCCCCCAACCCAGGGCCGGGCCGTCCTCTCTCAGCTGCAGAGCCTGGAACAGGAGAAGGGGCGCTGGCGGGTGGAGAAGGCCCAGTTGGAGCAGAGCGTGGAGGAGAACAAGGAGCGCATGGAGAAACTGGAAGGCTACTGGGGCGAGGCCCAGAGCCTGTGCCAGGCTGTGGACGAGCACCTGCGGGAGACCCAGGCGCAGTACCAGGCCCTGGAGCGCAAGTACAGCAAGGCCAAGCGCCTCATCAAGGACTACCAGCAGAAGTACGTGTCTGGGGGCTGGTCGGCCTGGGCCCAGGCAGCATTGAGAGGCTTTTGGGAGCAGCCCCTCCCCACCCCTCCAGCTGAGTAGGGAGGCAAGGAGCACAGAAGTTGGAGGGCCCCATGGTGGGGACACTGGGCCGGGAATGACCAGGCATCAGAGCCAGGCCCCAAAGGCTTTGGGAAAACCTGGAGCCTCCTGACCTGAGAACAGGGAGGGGCAGAGCTGCCTGGGTAGAGCTGAGAACCTGGGTCGCCCTGGGTGGAAGCCAGACCACACACCCTTACCTGCCATCTGTCCCCTGCCTATGCCCAGGGAGATTGAGTTCCTGAAAAAGGAGACGGCACAGCGTCGGGTTCTGGAGGAATCGGAGCTGGCCAGAAAGGAGGAGATGGACAAGCTCCTGGACAAGGTGGGCCTGGGGCGCCCTGTGGGCAGGGCCCAGCAGAGGGAGCCGCACCGAAGCCCCTACCCTGTGGTTCCTGGAGGGAGGGGATGCCATGTCCTCACGGCGGTTGCGGGGGCTGGGGTCGTGCCAGGTGTCCCGACCTGACTCCCTACCCTTCTTTGTTTTCAGATCTCAGAACTGGAAGGAAACTTGCAAACACTGAGGAATTCCAATTCTACTTAACAGGAATCATTCCTTGACTGGACAATAATTAACCCCCTCCCATTGTCCTCCCTCCCCTGTCCTCAACACCCCACCCCTCCCCCACCAGCCTGGGGACAGGTGCCCCGACTCCCCCCACCCCTCCACCCCACCTCTCCCAGCTTCAGGGACCAGAGGGCTCATATCACAGGCCCCCTTAAGATGGCCTGGGCAGACAGAGGTGGCTGGAAGGGCGGCTCTTTCTTGCCCCATGGGGCTGAGGCATAGAAGCTGAGGGCTGCCGAGGGCTGGCCTGGTGGTAGAAGGACACGAGCACCTGCAGATCAAACTGCCAGACTTTTCACACTCCAGCTTTTGTCTCTGGACTGGAACGGGGCTGGGGCTCTCCCAGCAGCTCGACAACTGGAGGCTGCTCCCTGCCCATGGGGCACCTGGGTGGCCCCTGGGCCTCTTGGAGATTCTACCTTCTCGGCCCTTCCCTCTTCCCCATCATTGTGCTGTCTCTGTTGCATTCTGACCCTCCTGCCTTGGGGATGGGGGGTTGCCTCAACACCTCCCCCATCCCCTTTCCCTGTCCTGGGAGGGATAGAGTCCCCCCCAAGAGCCCGGAGGCTGGGCCTGGCCCTGGCCCTGCACTGATTTCTCCTGTGTGCTTCGGGAACACAGGAGAAGGGGAGTGAGAGTAGGAAGAAGGGAGAGTTCAGGATACCTGGTCCCCAGCTCCCCGTTTCCTGGGGCAGCTGCCCTCAATTTCTCCTTGTGCCTCCCCTCTCCCAGGTGCCAAATAGCCATAACCTTCCCCTGGAACTGTTATCTGGCCTCTAGGGTCCAGGTTTCCTGGTCAAGGCTGGGAATGCCAGGGAGAAGAGGAGGTCAGCTTAGGGGACCTGGCTACAGAGACCCTGGCCTCAGTCAAGGGGACCATTTCTTGCTGGAGAGCCAGGGCCGATCCTGTTCTGCTCTGCCTGCCCAGCCCAGGGCGATGCCTGGAAGCCTTGTACTGATATCGAAGGGAGTCAGCCTCACCCCACCCCCACCCCCCACTGTTTTTCCAATGTTTTGACTGGAGGGCAAAATTTTACTACTACTCATCTTTTTGGAGACCAGGGCTGCCCTGCTGGCAGCCTGCCTTCTAAGTGAAATCGACTTTGTTTCCCCACTTTAACCCCAAATTGGGGCTTGGACCAAGGGAGGTGAGGCCCCCCCCAGGTCCCCTCCCCTTTCAGAATCCATCTCATTTTGCCACTTCATGCCCCTGCCCCAAATCTGGGTTTTTGTTCATTTTTTAAAAACAGACCACCCATCCCATCCGTTTTGGCTTCTTGTCCCCTGTAAATAGACCATGACTTCTATCAGTATTTCTTGTCCCCACCCCTTCCTACCCCCAGATGTGCCCCCATCCCCTGAAGGAGCTGGCCGTCTCAGTCCTGGGCCCACGCACTTCACCCCGGCAGATGGAGGGGGCGGAACCGGGTGGGCGGGACTGCTGCTGGCTGCTTGGGCCAGTGGCTACCCCTGCCCAGCCGTCCGGAGGACCGCGTCTCTGTATATAATATATATATGTATGTATTGTTCCCGGTTTTGTACGGACCATGCCCTCTGTCAGGTCGTCCCTATAAAAGCAGCCCCCAGAACCTCGCTGCCTGGTTTCTTGGTTCGCTGGGGCAGGGAGTGGGCAGGGATGAAGGATGCCAGGCTGCCCTGGTGGTCCCCTCCCACCAGTGCTGCCTCTAACCCTGAAGAACTTCCTACAGTGTCCCCAGGTGCCTCTCTGCCCCAATTCCACCCATCAACACCCATGCTTTTTTTTTTTTTTTGGAGACGGAGTTTCGCTCTTGTTACCCAGGCTGGAGTGCAATGGCGCGATCTCGGCTCACCGCAACCTCCGCCTCCTGGGTTCAGGCAATTCTCCTGCCTCAGCCTCCTGAGTAGCTGGGATTACAGGCATGCGCCACCATACCCAGCTAATTTTTTGTATTTTTAGTAGAGACGGGGTTTCACCATGTTGACCAGGATGGTCCCGATCTCTCGACCTCGTGATCCACCCGCCTCGGCCTCGCAAAGTGCTGGGATTACAGGCTTGAGCCACCACGCCTGGCCTTTTTTTTTTTTTTTTTTTTTTTGAGACGGGGTTTTGCTCTTGTTACCCAGGCTGGAGTGCAATGGCGCAATCTCTGCCTCCTGGGTTCAGGCAATTCTCCTGCCTCAGCCTCCCTAGTAGCTGGGACTACAGGCGTGTGCCACCATGCCCAGCTAATTTTTGTATTTTTAGTAGAGACGGGGTTTCACCATGTTGACCAGGATGGTCTCGATCTCTTGACCTCGTGATCCACCCGCCTCGGCGTGAGCCACCGTGCGTGAGCCACCGTGCCCGGCCAACACCCATGCTTTTTGTCCAGTCCTCCTGGGCAGGGCTGGGGGTTTCTAGAGAGTTTGTTCAGGCCACATTCCTTTTTCAAGGCCTCCAAGAAGTTAAAGGATCGGCTAAATACAGCAAGGTGAACCCCAAGTCGCTCCCCAGAAGGCCTCTAAACTGTGGGGACCCTCTAGTTTGGGAATCTTCTGTTAAAAAAGTAAAAGAAAAAAAAATGTGGGGATACTCAAGAAACACCTCCTGTGAGGCGGGTGAAGGATCAAAGGATTGCTGGGGGTGGGAGGTGACCGCCTGGCAGGTTTGTCCCCAGGATCCTAGAGAATCTGTTTGCCCTCTGGGGCAGGCCAAGTGGCCTGAAATAGCCCCAGCCCCAGCGCTGGACCAGCAGGCCTGCATGCTGACTCATCAGCTGGAAGGCTAATGGGTCTGGGAGTCTAGGTGCCAGGGTTCCAGGGACAATCTTTGATGAAGTCCCAGAGGGAGGAGAGCCAGCAGGGAATGGGGCAGGAGCTTGTGGCAGGCCCTAGGGCCAGCCTTCACTTGCCAGGCTGCTGGTGTGTAGATGTGAGACCAGAAGCGTGGAGGCACCTGTATTCAGTGGTGTGGCGCTTGGGGAGTCTCACCTTCCCCTCCCTTTGCCATAAGGAATGAAGTCCCAACCTCAGGGCCCTTCAAGGTCACCTTGGTGGGTCCTTGACAACATCCAGATGAGTGGCCAGCATGGGGACAGTCAGCTCCAGAAGCATCCCTTGTGGATGGCTGTGTCACACGGTTCCCATTCATGCTAAGCCAAATTCTGGCTTTCCATAGCTACCCCTCAAAAACCGGAGATCTACACCTCAGGCACAGTCCAGTCCTGCCGCCACCTGAGGGTTCCCTGGAAACCTGGGGATAGTGATTGCTCTTCCCAAGGCATCTTTGCTATGTGGATGATCTGTGGAACACTGTGGAAGCCCTGATGATGCTGAAGCCAGATTCAGGTGTCTGAACCCCAAGATCAGAGACCACCAAACCACTGGGTCACAGGTCATGGCTCCAGACTTAGAAGTCATTGAACCCTGGAGCCATCAAGGCCTTGCTCAGGAAACCTAGCCAAGAAGTGAAGTGGTGTGCCCTTCATGGGTGGGGAGGCAGGCATGAAGGTTGTGAAGGTTTCTGCTGGGCTGGTTGGGGCTAAGCATCCAGGGCGGGGACCCTCTGTCCCGTACCACCCCCTGTCTGTCTTGTGCATCAGGTGAGGAGCCTGTACATTGTATGTTCCAAACAGTGAGCCAAGTAGCCCCTCATGTTTAAGCCCAAGTATGTTGTGTGGCTGAAGGTCTTGTGCGTGGTTTTGCTGTGAGTTTCTCAGGCCTGAGCTGTGACTTGCCTGTGATAACACAGTATGTCCATGTCTGGGACTATGTCAAGTGGCTGTGAGTGGGCCTGTCACCTTAAACCCCCCATCGCCCCAGCCACTTGCCCAATTTTGGAAGCTTGCTTGAGGAAGTTTGCTAACACTTGCCAATAAGGGGTATTTTCCCAACTCCCAGAAGCTTAGGCCTCACTAGGAACAGCAGAACAGGGGCTCTTCCTTGGTCCTAGGTTCTAGCAAACACACCCATCGTCTTCCACCCCCTTGGGGTATACAGGGGCTATATAATCAATCCCCCCAACTCCAGCCCACCACCAAGATCTCACCAGATGCCTACAAAGCACATCGCCTTTAAGACCCCCAGATGCAGCCCCCACAGGTATCACCAGAGATACCACCCCTTCCCCAGATTTCCACAATCTAGCCTCATGGCTGCCAGAAGATTCCAAAGACATCCAGAGACCCCCCCCTAAACTCCCATAGATCCCCTAGGATACCCTCAGACCCTGAAGGCTATTAATTTAATCCTCACTCATAGTCACAAGATTGTCCTGGTTCAACAGGACACTTCCCGGAGGCCTCACCTGTGGGCTATCAGGAAACTCTGTCCAATAGACTGCACACCTCTCCCCTGACTCTAGAACCCTAATCCAGTTTCACCGATTGCTTTTTTTTTTTTTTTCTTTGAGATGGAGTCTCACTTTGTTGCCCAGGCTGGAGTGCAGTGGCACAATCTCAGCTTGCTACAACCTCCACCTCCCGGGTTCAAGTGATTTTTGTGCCTCAGCTTCTGGAGTAGCTGGGACTACAGGCACGCGCCACCACACCTGGCTACTTTCTTGTATTTTTAGTAGAGATGGGGTTTCACCATGTTGGCCAGGCTGGTCTCGAACTCCTGACCTCAAGTGATCCGCTCGCCTTGGCCTCCTAAAGTGCTGGGATTACAGGCCTGAGCCACCGCAGCTGGCCTTTCATCACTTGCTCTTAAGCAAAGCACTTTCCTTCTTCTAAGTCTCTTGTTTTCTCTGAGGCAGTGGGTAATGGAAACACCCACCTTGTGGGTTTATTGTGAGGGTGACAAGAGATGATCTGAGTGCCTGGCACCTGCCAAGCTGTGCTGTGCGGTAGCTGGTTGTGGATCCCCACTACACTGCCTCCCCTGGCTAGCCTGCCACTGCCTCCAGATCACTGGGTCCAAGTCTGATCTCATCCTTCCCCACCCCCACCTGCTCCAGGGCTCTCTGCCTCAAGCCAAGGTCCACAGCCATCCTAGACCCCTCTTCCCTCACCTCCTAGTCCACTAGGTCCCCAAATCCTGTCAGTTTCTTCAGGCCTGCATCTTGAAGCTTCTCAGCTTAATCTGTAACCTTTATGCCCACTGCCAGGGGTCCTCAACAGCCTACCGAGAGTCTCCCTGCCTTCAGGCTGCCTTCTGCAACCCTGTCGTCTCCAGAGGAGCCAAGGGTGCTTCTTAAATTCATACCCGAGACCCTCCCTCCTCTGTTAAGTGTGCGTGTGTGGCTGGCAGAATAAAGTGCAAGCCCCCTGCACCTCCCCAACCTCATCTCATCTTCCCCTCTTGCCCTCCCACCCCCAACACCCCCTGGCACTTCCCTACCCTGGCCAGCAGTTATAGCTGACACGTCACCTCCTCTGGGAATCCGCGCCCCCCCACCACACCACCGCCCAACCAGCCGCCGCCGCCGGGACCCAGGCCCGGCCAAGGATGCGCTCTCCCTTCCCTTTGTGAGCCGGGCCCACAGCACTCGGGCTGGTGAGGGCCTCCCCACTCATCTGCGCCCCCGAATGCCCCGCTGGCCTTGAGCGGGGCTGGGGGACGGGGGGTTCTGTTCACCGCTGTCCCCTCCAGCCTCGGCGCCCCGGCGGACGTTTGTTGAATGAATGAGCGAATCCGGAGCCCTGACAGACCCTGCAGAGCGGGCGGAAGCCCAGTGGGTCCCGCGGCAGGGCCGCCCCGCAGCTGGTCCCACCCGCGCAGACTCCGGTGCGCCGCGTCTCCCGCGGGCAGAGAAGTAGAGGCAACTCCGCTCCCCGGGCCGGGCCGTCTCCTCCCCGCCGCCCTCCCCCGCCTCCGCCCCCTCGCTCCCTCCCGCTCTTTGTCTCCTGGGCGCCCGGCTTCCCCGCCACGCGCCCCCCGCGACGCCTCTTTCCCGGGGACCCCGCGGACCCCGGCCAACGCCACGCGGCGCGAATCGGCCCTGCCAGGCGGGTCTCCGCGTCCGGCCAGGCCTGGCGGGCGGCGGGGGCGGGGAGGGAGGTGGCGCTCGCTCTTCGCTCTCCCCTCTCTCTCTCTCACACACACACATACACACACACGCGCGCGCACACGCACACGCACGCACACACATAAGGAGCATCCTCCCGTCAGGTCTCCTGGTCCAGCCCCGCCCGCGCCTCCTGCTTCCAGAGAACCTGCTGCCTCTTCCCACCTCCCCCGCCCTCCATCCCCTCCGGCTGCGGGACCCTCCCCGCCGACCCCACCCCCACCCCAACCCCCGGGATGGAGTGGCTCGAGCCAGCCCGGAGCCCCCCGCGGCCGGGGTGACGGTCCCCCCCGCCCCTCTCCTGCCCGGCCCCCGCCTCGAGCACCATGGGCCTGAGGGGTTCCCGGGGCGCCAGACGCTGAAGATGACCGATGCCGGAGGTGAGGGGCCGGGCGCCCTGGGGTGGACCGGGAGCCGGGGCTGGGGCCACTCGGGCCTGCGGTGGGACCCCGATGGGACCTCGAGCAGGGTTGGACGGGGCCAAGCGACAAGGGCCTTTCTTCCCCTATCCCTAGGGGGACCGTACGGGGCTGGGGTGCCGGGCTGTCAGGGGAGGGGGCGGAGATAGGATTTACGGCCCTAATCCCCTCCCTCCCGCCCGAGGCCCGGAGAAATTAATAAAAAGCTGGCGTGGGGGGAGGGGAAGAGGGCTTAACTCTTTCTTGCCCGGCGGGGCGTTGTGCTGAAGGATCGGAGAGAAACTAGCTCCCGGGCTCTGCCTGGGGAGAGGGCTCTGAGAGTGGAGTAGGTGTCCTGTCCCCAACCTCACCCCATCTCCAGCAGTGCTTTGAGGGGGTGTCCGACTCCTGAGGACTACCCCAAGCCTGGGGTCGGCGGACGGCAGCCATGTGGGAAGGGGACCACCTCTCCGGCTCCACAGCTGTCCCCCACCGCCCGTCTCCTTTCCCATCCACCTCTTCCCGGCCTTTCCCAGGTGCACTTCTCTCTGTCGCTTTCCCCTCCTCAGGGACCCTTTTCTCTCGCCCGCGCGCAAGGCTTCTCCCTTCTCTTCCCACCCTCGGCCGTCACTCAGGGCGGCGGGAGCCCTTGTCCCCTATGCCGCTTCTCCTGGCCCCACTCTCGGTCTGTTGTCTTTCTTCTCAGCAGCCCATGGACTCTCCGCCCGTCTGTGTGTCTGTCTCGGCTCCTACTCCCCACTTCCTTCCGCTCCCGTTCCCTCCCCGGGAATTGTGCGCCCTTTCTTTCTTTCTTTCTCCTTCCCTTGGGTCCCAAGAGGCTGTGAGCTCACCTGCCTCCCAGTCTCCCAGAGAAGGGTCAAAGGTCATTGGTGCTCCTTCTCCGGGATTGGCAGCCTTTCGGGGAAGGGTGTCCAGAGGAACTGGTTCACTTCCACCCTTGTGCAGTTACCTGGCTGAATGTGTGTGTGTGTGAGTGTGCGGTGTGTGTGGGAGTGGGAGTGGGGGCGGGGTTTGGTGTCTAATTTTTCAAGGCTTAGTTTTGGAAGGAGAGGGTTGGGTGGGAGGGGTCTGGTGACCCTCCGGAGACAGTGCAGGGAGGGTCCCGTATACACCCCAGGAAGTTGCTGAAGTGAAGAAGGAGCAGTTTGTGCTGAATCAGGATGGCCTGAGAGTGGCTGTGAGCAGGAAACTCCAGAACGGCCCAGAGGCTGCCTGGAGGAGGAGCACTGCAGCCACCGGAGGATCTCCACCCTGGACTGGGCTCTTGAATAAAGAACACAGGATCTTCATTCCCAGAGGCAGAGAAGAGGCAACACTACTGCCCTCAGAGAGCCTCCTTTCTGATGGGAGAGGCAGTTCCTGTTTTCGGAGAGTCCCTAGTTTGACAGAAGAATACATGGACCCTTTCTTCTCTGAGTTCTCATCTCATTAGGTGTGGGGAGATGAGACCTATTTAAGGAATCAGAGAAGTATGAAGAATTCCCCATTTCCCAGTGGTTGGAGAAAGATGGATTTAGAAATTATGCAGACAAATGAGAGGAGGGCGGGCTACCTAGGACAGCTTCCTGCAGGAGGTGGCAGCTGGGTCCTAGCCAGATAAGGCTTTGTGGTTGAATGAGGAAACGTGGTTTATTCTTAGGGTCAGCCTCCCTTCCCATCTGGCCTGTCAGGACAGGAAGAAACACATTTTAGATCTTTGCTGGTAGCCCCTGGAGCTCAAGAATGGCAGGAGGGTTCTTGGAGGAGCTACTTCCCTGACGGCCCTTTCCCACACCCCATTTTCTGCTTTCAGCCCCAGGCATTCATGGATTCTAGAGGTGGTTTTGCTGCTTCTCCCAGTCCTGGTCAGTGTGGAGCAGCTTCCCTCCCTCTACACTTATCCCTTCCCCCACCCCAAAACTGAAGATCATCACCTAGGAAAGTGCAGGAGCCCCGGCTCAAGGTGGAGTTCTGCCTCTTATTATTTTCTTGTCTATTTATTTATTTGGTTACTTTTATTTATTTATTTTTTTGAGATGGAGTTTCACTCTTGTCACCCAGACTACAATGCAATGGCACGATCTCAGCTCACTGCAACCTCTACCTCCCAGGTTCAAGTGATTCTCCTGCCTCAGCCTCCTCAGTAGCTGGGATTACAGGCCTGCATCACCACACCCAGCTATTTTTTTGTATTTTTAGTAGAAACTGGGTTTCACCATGTTGGCCAGGCTGGTCTCGAACTCCTGACCTCAGTTGATCTGCCCGCCTCAGCCTCCCAAAGTGCTAGGATTACAGGCGTGAGCCACCACGCCCGGGTACTTTCTTATTTCTGAGACGAGGATCTCACTATGTTGTGCAGGCTTGTCTAGAACTCCTGGGCTCAAGAGATCCTCCCAGCTCTGCCTCCCGAGTAGCTAGAATGGTAAGCATTTGCCTGGCTTTAGTTCTGCCTCTCATCTCCTGTTTCTTCGTTTTCACATCTGTAAAGTGGGGATATGAAAATTCCCAAGCCCAGCCAGAGTGAAGGTAGATGATGTCTATGTAATAACAGAAGAGAAGAGTTGGAAAAGACTCCAGCAGGCATGTGGCTCAGCCTTCCTGTATACGACACGTGTATGATCTAGCCCAGTGCCTTGCTGTTCTCCTGTGGACCTGAGTGTTAGAAGTAATTGGAGGTCATGTCTCAGCCATGCAGCCTCCCATTTCCCTAAGCCATCAATGGCCCCTGAGCTTCCTCACTCTCCCCTCATCCAGTATCCCCTGGCCAAGTGGTCTCCCCAGGGCTACTGGAATCCTAGAGCTGCTTGAAAGCCTATTCAAATGGTTTCAGCTGCATGTATCTTTCCCTGTCTGCCCTCCCTTCTTGCTTCCCACCAAAAAACCTTGAACCAAAACAAAAAAGCCCTACCCATTCACACTTCTTCCGAGAACATACTTGATGCATCATAGAGGTTTGGCGGTCCACTGTGTGCTGTGTGTACTCCTTATACCCTCCTACATCTGTGAGTCTGTCAAGAACTGTGAGAACTGTGTCTGGAACAGTGGCCCTGCTGATGGTGCCAGCTTCCTGAACAGCTCATGTTCAGAACGGCAGGTGGTGAGGGCACCAGTGATGGGGGTATGGGGATGCAGGATTGGAAAAGAGATGGAAATTGATGGAGGCAAAGATGGGTGGATGGACAGATGGCAGCAGATGTTGGGTGGATGGGGGCAGATGTTGGATAATGGATGGGTAGATAGATGGGTGAGTGAACAGATGATGAGTAGGCAGGTAGATGGATGGATGAGTGCATAGGTAGGTAGATGGATGGGAGAGCCTGGTCCTGGTCCTGATTTTGCCATTAACTTGCTATGTGATCTTGGGCCAGTCACTCCCCCTTCTGTATTTTCATTTGTAAGGTGAGAGGATTGGATTTAATAATCTCCATGACTTCTCCCAGATTTGATTGCACAGTTGATGATAATTGAAAGTGTTTAGGGGTTGTTAATGATGTAAAGCCCCAAAACAGCGAAGGGGAGAAGTTCAGTGACCCCTGCGAAGCCACACAGCCAATCAGTGGACCAGGACCACAGGGCTCAGCCTGTGTCTGCGCCTTGGATTTGTGTCTGCCCCCACCCTCCTACTGTGCCTCCTGCCCCTGCGCCCACAATCTGGGTTATGATTCCAGTGGCTTCTGGGCCAGAAGAAGTGTTCTAAGGTAAGGGGAAGGGCCAGCAAGCCTGGGGCAGGTAGCCTTCGGCATCTCCCCTGCCTCAGCTAGTTTTGATTTCTTACTCAGGCTCTCTGTTTCTCTCTCTCTACCCTCTTGTCCTCTCCAGCTGTCTTGAGTCATGGCTTCTTCAAAGCTCCGAGAACCCGCGGATGAGGTTTTTGGTAAGTTCTGTATGGTTCCATCTCTAGTCAATAGACACAGCCATAGAGTACTTCCTTCCTGGCCCACTAGGCATTGAAGGGGATAAGGGGGTTCTTGGCGGCGTGTGTGTGTGTGTTTTGTGGCCTGACCCTTTGTCACCACTGTCTTAGTGGGCGCACCAGTGATAACAATAAAGGTCCTCATTTATTAAGTGCTTATGCCAGATACTAGGTTAAGCACCCCCATCTCCCATGCACTGTATTAGTTAACCCTTACAATAATGCTTAGAAGTCAGTCCAGTTTACAGACCAGGAGTGTAGGGTACAGAGGGCTGAAGTGACTTTCTTTCTTTCTTTCTTTTTTTTTTTTAAAGATGGGTTTTCACCATGATGGCCAGGCTGCTCTTGAACTCCTGACCTCAGGTGATCCACCCACCTCAGCCTCCCAAAGTGCTAGGATTACAGGTGTGAGCCACCGCGCCCGGCGTGACTTGCTTTCAAGATCACATAGCAAGTTAGTGGCAGGGTTGGGACTAGAACCCCAGACTGCCTGACTTCCTGCTCTTAGTCACGATCCTGTACACCTACCTGTCCATTCCAGCCCAGATGACACACATGACCTCCTGTCCATTCCAGCCCAGATGACACACATTACCTCCAAGTCACATAAATCAGCGCAAGGGACCTCACCCTGCCTGGCTGTGTGCTGAAATCAAATGCCTCACACACATAGCCTCCGTACCGCCAGGCTGGCCCCCTCACGCTGGCCTGCACGCCCACGTCCTCAGTACACACTGGGGTGCATGCCCACGCCACGGTACCATCATTTACCCCCTGCAGTCTTCTGTTGTGTGGATTGGAGAAAGAGACCACCCCAGCTGGGCAGCGTTCCCAGCATGCACTGGGGCGGAAAGCCGGTTTCCCAGCGGGATTCCGGTGAAGGAGTCAGGAGCAGTCGGTGAGCAAAGGAACTTGGAGGAATGAGGGAGAGGGGGAGAGCTGCCTGCACCTTGAGGGGCTCCTATGCCAGAGGGCCCCCCGTTTCTCCTCTCCCGCCTGCCTTCTCCCCATCTCTCCCTTCTTCGGTCTCTGGCTTCGGCTTCCCGTCCCAGTCTCCTCCGCTCCCCAGCCTTGAACTGCCCCCGGGCCACAGTCTCTGAGTCTGTCTCCACACAGGCCTGACGGGGGCGAGGAGCCCTCCCTTCCCTGGGTTTTCTGCCCCTGCTCCCCCACCTCCCTACCCTGGCCTCCCCACCCGACTCCTGCCTGTTTTCCTCACTGCAGAGGTAGCTGGGTCCTCCCAGCTTCCTGTTGTGAAAGGCCATTAAATATTTATGAATTCCCACTGCCCAGGGCTGGGAGGAGGAGGAAGAGGGGAGAGACGGGGGAGGAGCTAGGGAAGGAGGGCAGGAGCAGAGAAGAAGGGAAGAGATAGAAGAGGCTGGAGGAGGAGCTTCGCAGAGCAGAGGACCCAGGACAGGCTGGCCGCACCTTGCTTGAAAACCACCAAGCCCCTTAGGCGTCTCCTTGCTCCCCAGCCCCTCCAAGGTAAGATGGCCATGGTGCCGACGTGGCCCAGAGTCCGGAGCAAGGAGCCCTTCTCCTTGTTTTGAGTTGGTTGGGCACCAGCTAGGTGCCTGAGCACTGGCCTGGGAGCCACTCTCCGTAACTCCCTCTGTACCCTCAGCCAAACGTGTCCTCCTGTCATCTGTGAGCCTGTTTTCCCATCCATACAATGAGGTTGGACTCAAAATTCCTTCCCATCTCTGCTTCAGAAAGGATGTAGCATGCTTAATGCTTACCAGTGGAGCTAGACTGCCTGTCTGTAACCCTGGCCAGCTTCTCACCAGCTTTATGCTGTGGGGCAAATGAAGGCTGCCCTGGGGATTCTTGGAGTCCCTTCCTCATAGGGCTGTGGGGAGGCTCAAATGAGCTAGTAATTGTGAAGCACTTAGAACCGTGCCTAGCACAGCAAGAGCTCAGTAAGGATTAGCTCTTACTTTTCTGTGGTTCGACCTTCAATCCTCGCTGCTTCCAGGCAGTGCCTGGAGATGCTATGCGAGGGGGCTGGGAACAGAGGGCACCCTCCCTCAACTCAGCCCCAGGGGCTGGAAACACCCGCACGTTGCCCCCTTTGTCCACCCTCCCCCTTCAACCAGTCCCTTCCTGTCCCCTCGAAGCTCGTGCTGGTCCCTTGCTGCTCCCTAGGCACTCCAAGTCCAAGGTTGTGCCAGCCCCTCTCCTTAGAAAACTTTCTTGTTCTTTCTACGGATCTCCGCTCTTTATGGCTTCCCGGACCTCAGCCTGACTGCTACATTTAAAGTAGTAGCCTCCCAGTATCCCCCATCTTTTCATCCATTTGACAAACATACATTTATTTATTTATTTATTTATTTATTTTATTTTATTTTATTTTATTTTTTTTGAGATGGAGTTTCGCTCTTGTTACCCAGGCTGGAGTGCAATGGCGCGATCTCGGCTCACCGCAACCTCCGCCTCCTGGGTTCAGGCAATTCTCCTGCCTCAGCCTCCTGAGTAGCTGGGATTACAGGCACGCGCCACCATGCCCAGCTATTTTTTGTATTTTTAGTAGAGACGGGGTTTCACCATGTTGACCAGGATGGTCTCGATCTCTTGACCTCGTGATCCACTCGCCTCGGCCTCCCAAAGTGCTAGGATTACAGGCTTGAGCCACCGCGCCCGGCTATTTATTTATTTTTGAGATGGAGTTTTGCTCTTCTTGCCCAGGCTGGAGTGCAATGGCACAATCTTGGCTCATCACAACCTCCACCTCCTGGGTTCTAACGATTCTCCTGCCTCAGCCTCCCGAATAGCTGGGATGACAGGCATGCACCACCGTACCCAGCTAGTTTTGTATTTTTAGTAGAAGCAGGGTTTCACCATGTTAGTCAGGCTGGTCTCGAACTCCTGACCTCAGCTGATTCACCTGCCTCAGCCTCCCAAAGTGCTGGGATTACAGGCATGAGTCACCATGCCCAGCCTCGACAAATATTTATAGAGCTCCTAATATGTATCAGGCTCTGTTCTTGGCCCTGGGGAGATAGCAATGAACCAGCCAGACAAAAATCACTGCCTTCATGGAGCTCGAATTCTCATGCAGAGGCAAGCAGGGGGACAGATGATCAAAGCACACATAAATAAACAGTGAACAGACTAGATGGTGGGGAGTGCTGGGCAGAGGATTGAAATGTGGGCATGATGGGATGTGACTTGTGCGTGCAGGTGACCTTCATCAGCACCCGAGTGTGTCTGGAGTCTGTCTCCGCCAAAGCATGCACTGCTCCATGGAAGGGTGACTTTGCTTCAGCACTCCCTGAGCACCTGCTCCCTGCCAGGTGCCGCACCAGGCTCTCATGATATACAGTGGATGGGGAAGGGCTTCACCCTCTGCAGCATGCAGGCCAGCAGGAAGAGACAATCATTGGTGACCATATCCGGACTGTATCGTGACCATATGGTAATGGGGTGCGGCTGCCAGAGGGTGATGTGTCAGAGTTGATTAGCCAGACAGAGAAGGGCTGGAGAGAGATGGAGCACAGGGATGGAGGTGGGAAGTGAGGTGGAGGCAGATACACATACAGGTATCAGTATAAGCAATTCATTCGATCCCACAGACACCATCACCAGTGACAGCCTGTTGAGCTCGTACTAAGTCGTAGCATTATGGTGAAGCACTGTCTTTGGATTATTTTATTTAATGCTCACAACCCCTCTATAAGGAAGATAGTGCTAGTGTATCCCATTTTACACATAGGAAAGCTGATACCAAAAAGGAAGTAACTTGCCCAGAGTCACTTAGCCAGCAAGTGATAGAACTGGCTTCAGCCTGGGCCATCGGACTCCAGGGTCAGTGCTCTTAGCCATAGTCATGTAAGAGGAGGACTCTGTGGGGAACATAGAAATGGTGGGCTGGACCCCTCAGGCCTTGAATAGAGGGCTGAGTAGCATGAACTTTATATTGTTAGCTTTAGGACTCTTTCTGCAAGAGTTTCCAAAGCAGGACAGTATGGGACATGGTCAGAAACGTGCTTCAGGCGGAGCACGGTGGCTCACATCTGTAATCCCAGCACTTTGGGAAGCTGAGGTGGGCAGATCACTTGAGGTCAGGAGTTCAAGACCAGCCTGGCCAATGTGGCAAAACCCCACCTCTACTAAAAAAAACCACAAAAATTAACCAGGTATGGTGGTGGTGCACACCTGTAGTCCCAGCTATTCAGGAGGCTGAGGGAGGAGAATCACTTGAGGCTGGGAGGTGGAGGCTGCAGTGAGCTAAGATCATGCCACTCACTCCAGCCTGGGTGACAGCATGATCTGTGAAAGAAAGAGAGAGAGAGAAAAGAAAGAGAAAAAAAAATGTGCATCAGAAAGTTTCTTCTAGCCACATGGAAGGCATGAAGCGGAGCCTCCCACGAGGCAGGGAGCAAAGGATGGATGGTTGGGTGTTTTGGGGTGGCAAGGGGTGGGAAGAGGGGACAGCTCCCCTCCACTCAGATGAAGGTCTGAGCTAAGGCAGTTTGGTCCAGAGGGAGAGGAGAGCCCAGCTTCTGTGGGTGTGAGGAGGCCAATCAACAGAACTTTGTTGTTTCATTAAAAGAGTGTGCTAAGCACCTACTGTGTGCCAGGCACTGTTGTCTGCCTGTGGTAGAGCAGTGAACAAAACAGAAACCTGTCTTCATGGAGCTGACATTCTAATGGGTGGAGAGAGACAATAAATGATATAAGCAAAATATATAGCACCCCAGAGAATGAGAAATGTTATAGGAAAAAAATAGGAGTGGGGTTTTAGGGGGAGGCTATTATAAAAAAATTGGATGGTCAGGGAAGGTCTCAGTGAGAGAAAGCATTTAAGCAAAGACTTGAAGGAAGTGAGGGAGAGAAGCATGCAGAAATCTACAGAAAGAGCCTTGCAGGAAAAGGGCAGAGGCAGAGCAAAGGCTGTGCAGTGCAGGCTGGCTTGTGTGAGGATGAGCCAGGTGGCCAGGGTGGCCGGAGTGGAGGGACAGCAGTGCCCAGGGAGACAAGGGAGCACAGGCTGACTCTGGAAGGCCACTGGGAGAACTTTGGCTCTTAATCTGCGTGAGATGGAAGTCACTGGAGGGTTCTGAGCAAGGGAGTGATACAAACTGACATGTTTGATCAGGATCACTCTGGCTGCTGTGTTGAAAATAGACCGTAGATGGGAAAGGGAGGTGGAAGGAAGACCAGCTAGGAGGCTTTTTGTAATCATCCAGGCCAAGAGATGATGGCAGCTTAGACCAGAGAGGCAGTGAGCAGTTCTCCCTGTCACTCCCCTCCTCGCCCTCCGTCCTTGCCCTCCCATCCTTTCCCCTCCTTCTCTTTCCTCTCCTCTCCCTTCCTCTGCACTTCTCCCTTTCTCTCCATATGTACGCGTGTATAGGAGTATATGTATACACTGGAACACACAATAATTTACTGTGGAAAACCTCAAACAGATTCAAAATTAGAACAGTGCAGTGTACTCTATCATGCACTCAGGAACTCATCACGCAGCCTCAGCGGTGACCCAGTCACGGCCAGTCGAGTTTTCTGCCTAGCCCCATCCATGCCCTACCTCTCTTGCCCTGGATTATATGGAACCTAGTCCACAACATCATATCCCTTCACCGTAAATATTTCAGTATGTCTAGCTAGCTTTTGAAAGTAGAGCTAACGGGATTGTGAAGGAATCTGTTTGAGGATGGTAGGGGAAGCAGTCAAGAATGACTCCAGGGGTTCAGCTGAGCAACTGGAAGGATGGAGCTGCTGTTCAGCGGGACTGGGAGGAGGAGCTCCGGGTGGGAGAAATGAGGAGGTTGCAGCGCGTGTAGGTTGAAGACCCCTGGTGGACATTCAAAGTGGAAGTGTCACTAGACAGTTGGACACATGAATTACCAGCTGGGTCTGGGGCTGAGAGAGAAGGGTGGCTTAGGGCTGTCTGACTTGGGTGGACAAGGGGGCTTTTCACGGAGTCAAGGAAGAGTGGAGAAGTTGGTTTGAAGCTACATGATAGGTTCATTTTGATGAGTTGAGCTCGAGATGCCTTGGGGCCTTTGACGTGGTAACTTCCCTGGCAGGTGCCTGAGTGCCCACGCTTGGAATTCAGGGGAGGGGGTCAGGCTGGAAATAGAAATAAGTGGTAGTTAAGCCAGGAGAGTAACTGGGGTGGCTTAGGGGTTGTCTGAAGACGGGAAAAGAGGAGCAGGCAAGGCAGGGTGGGCATGAGTGATGGAACAGGGTCCCTGAGATCATGCTGGGTGGAGTGGGGAAGAAAGGTCTTGACCCATCTCGAAGCCTGGGAAGACCCTTTCTGTTTGGAGACCCCAGTGCCAAGCTCAGAACTGGTACAGCATGAGGGCTTCATCCTGAGGTGCAGCACATGAAACGTGGTGCTATGGGCAATAAGGATTTTTGTGCTTGATGCATTGGGTTTCCCTACTCTTCCTCCGTGTCCTCATGCTAGACCTAGGCCGGGCCACAGACCCAGGACAGGAGAGAGGTTTCAGAGGTCTATGGGGCATTCCTTCCTGTCACTGCCACTGGATTCTGGGGTGGAGGGGGCCTTTGCTCCACTCCAACTGCACGCCCTCTAGATGCTCAGCAGTGCTACCTCTGAGTGAGACCCTGTGTGTGGCACAGCCAGCCAGTGTCCCCAGTATGACCAGTCTCTAGAGCCAGACTAGCCAGGCCCAAATCCCAGACCACTGCTAGCTGGTGGCTTTAGTCAAGTGACTTAACCTCTTTGAGTTTTAGTTTGCTCAGCTGTAAAGTGTGCATAGGAAGTGTCCTAACCCCACTAGGTTGCTTGGCTTGAGAGATGATGTGTGTACATTACCTGGTACGTAGTAAGTGCTTCTTGAATGGTAGTCATTATTTCCATCGTCTCTCCAGCCTCATCCCCAACTCTTCTCTCCACAAAGCTACTCTCCAAGTGTCCCGGGAGGTACCACCCTTGCTTCCCTACTTGCTAGCATTGCATATACCTGTTTTGCCCACCTCATCACTTACAAACTCCTACCCAGACCTTAAAACCCAGCTTTGGTGTTTCCTCCTCTGATGTATCCAGACAGGGCTGCCCAGTCCTCTGTGTCTGTGTGAGGGTTCATCACACAGTGCTGTATTTAAGTGCTGGCATGTCTGCTTCGCCCGCACACCCGCCCACTCCCACCTGAGACAGGGAGACACCCTGTTTTTCATCTGTCTGTACTCCCAGCACTTGGGAACACTGGTTGAATGCCTGGGGTGTGAGGGCAGGTAGCCCCTTGAGGTGGGCCTCTGGGCTTGCGGTCACCTCTCATGTGTCTGGTCTCTGCCCTCTTCCCCTGGTTCGCAGACCTGGACTTGGCTGTGCCAGAGACCGCCAGACTGGACAGCAGTTTACACAAGGCCCGGGCCCAGCTGTTGGCCAAGGGCCGGAGACACCGGCCATCCCGCTCCAGGCTTCGGGACAGTGCCAGCTCCGCGGAGGATGGTGAAGGCTCCGATGGGCCTGGAGGCAAGGTTGGGGCAAGTTAGGAAAATACACCTACACTCTCGCGCCCCTCCCTCTCCACCGGCCCCTGGATAATCTCTCCAAAGTCCTGTTCCAGGGAAACCACAGCCCCAGACTTCTGACCTAGTCATGTTAAATGTTAGCTGCAGTTCGCCTCTGGCTCATTTAATCCTTTGTAAAGAAGATTATTAGCCCCATCCTACAGCTGAGGAAACTGAGGCCCTGAGAGGTCCTGTAGTAAAGTCACAGTAAGTGGAGGAGGGGGAATTCAGCCCCAGCCGTGTGACTCAGAGTTCCTGTTTCCCACCTCTCACTGTCCAGCCACCCCGCTGCCTAAGGCTTGAGGAAACCCTCCCTCTAGGCCCCGGAAGGACCCTCCAGGGCCCTCAGTTTCTGGGGTGAAAGTCTCCCAGCTCCTCCGGGAAGGGTGAAGGAGGGTTCTCGGGTGAGCGGCTGCTGTCTCCTACAGGTGACCGACGGCTGCGGGAGCCCCCTGCACCGGCTGCGCTCGCCTTTGCACGCAGGCCCGGGGTCCCCGGCGGGGGGCTCCTTCTGCCTGGATCCTCCCGGGCTGCGGCGCAGCCTGGACGAGGACGAGCCGCCGCCCTCGCCGCTCACGCGCTACCGGCCCCTGCACAACACTGCCTCGCACGAGGGCCTGGCCGCCGCCTCCTGCTCGCCGCCGCGCTCCGCGCCCTCCTCCGACAGCTCCCCCAGCTTCGTGCGCCGCCACCCGCGCGCAGAGCCGCACAGCGAAGGTGAGTTGCGGCCGGCGCCACACCCCCTGCTGGTCGCTCCCGGGCACAGCGGCCCTCCCGGTCCCAGCGCGCAATGAAGCCAGGTAGAGCAGCTGGGCAGGGTGGCTGGGGGAGGTGGAGAGTAAACCTCGCGGCTCAGTGGTTCTTTACCCAGCGCCCACTAAGTGCCAGACCCTGTGGGCTCTGAGACATCCAGGTGAGCAAACATCTGCAGTCTTTATCATCATAGTTTAGGGGAGAAACCGTCAAATCAGGCCTGGCTCTGCAGCTCACGCCTGTAATCCCAGCACTTTGGGAGGCCGAAGTGGGAGGATCGCTTGAGCCCAGGAGTTGGAGACCAGCCTGGGCAACAGGGCAAGCACCTTGTCTCCAGAAAAAAATTAAAAATCGACCCCGCGTGGTGTGCACCTGTAGAACCAGCTACACCAGAGGCTAAGGTGGGAGGATAGCTTGAACCCGGAGTTCCGAGCTCCAGTGAGCTATGATCACTCCTTGCCTCAGAAACAAAACAAAACCCCAATCAAATCATCCTTTAATTGAATGTGTAGTTACAGACTGTAATAAGTGCTATCTGGGAAGTGTGTAGCCACATGGTGGGAGGGCATACACCAGGATGCCTGGCCTGGCTGGGAACATCCTGGAAATGACATTTGAGCCAAGATTGGAAGGCTGGCTAGAAGTTGGCTAGGATCAAATTGAGTAAATAGTAGTGGCCCCTACCTATTTGGAACATTTTATAGTTTGTAAAAGACTGTAGTAAGCATCCCATTAGGTCCAGTTAAGTAGGCAGATGTTATTATCCTGTATTTAAAATGGAGGAAGCCCAGAGAGGTAAAGTGTCCTGTCCTAGAACACCCTCTAGTGAAGGGCACCAGAGCCATGCTGCCTGATTCTAAGTCAAGAGAATTTCCACCACCCCACACCGGCAGCGGAAGGAGGCAGGCAGGCCACCAAACAGGCAATTTCCTTCCTTCTCTCCCTGGATAGATGACAGCCGTGATGCCAGTCCTCCTGAGCCTGCCAGCCCCACCATCGGCCTGGATAAGAAGACTCGGCGAAAGTTCCTGGACCTGGGGTGAGTGGAGGCGGGGCTAGATCGCAGGGCTTGCAGCTGCTGTGTTAAGGGGTGGCACAGTGGGCAGCCCTGCCCCACTCCTCACTGCCTCCCCACAGGGTCACCCTGCGCCGAGCATCCACGGGCAAGAGTCGGAAGGAGAAAGGTAGCAACCGCCTGTCCATGGGCAGCAGGTGAGAGGTGCCCATGGTGGCCCACCCACGGCTCCCACCCCTGGCTCCCCATGTACCCCAGTCCTCCCCTCTGTACCCACACCCATGCTGGACACTCTCTCTGCAGGGAATCAGTGGAGGGCTCCAGCAGGTCAGGGGGCTCCCCGTTCCTGCCTTTTTCGTGGTTCACAGACAGTGGCAAGGGGTCAGCATCCTCGGGTAGCACCACCTCCCCCGCCTGCTCCCCTAAACACGAGGGCTTCAGCCCTAAGAAGTCAGCTTCCCAGGTAAGTCCATGCCTTTCTTGTCCCCAAACTGACCCCCCGTCTCAGGTGACATGAGGGCGTACTTCACCCTGGCTCAGGCTGGGATTCAGACATTCCTGGAATCGATTTGTCCATCCATGGAGCCACGCGGTGATCCATTACTTCATGCGTTCTCTGAATTCATTCATTCACTCATCCACTCCTTCATATTCTGAGTAGTTCATTCCTTGATGCAGTCACTGCTTCACGCATTCAACAAATCACTGAACACATGAGTCCCTACTGTTCACCCAGCCGGAGACTTCCTTCATCCCTGCTAACTCTTCTGCCTGGCTCAGCTCTAAGCCCACTCCTGTGTTAGGAGCTGGGCCACCCGCTTGGTAGGGTGAGGCTTGGGGGATATAGAGATGAACAGGACCCCAGCCTAGTGCTCTGAAAGCTTACAACCCTGTGTGACGTGAGAACAAGTAAGAGAAGCAATGATGAGCATCTGTGTATGTTCAGAGAGCCCTCTGCAGTTTACAAAGCCCCAAACACATTCTGCTTTACTCTCACAGAGGCTCAGTGAAGTAGGGAGGAAAGGCACACTCATCAACATTGCACAGATGAGCAAAGGACAGCCCAGAGAAGGGGCTTGTCCACAGACTGGCACAGATTTAGGTGCCAAGCTCTATGACCTCCAGCCTAGTGCTTGTTCTATGGTTCTGTTTCTTACATGCAGCTGGGCAGAGGAGAAAATCAGAAGCTGGGAATTCGGGAAAGAAAGAATCCCTTCGGACCTGGAACTTCCTTCTTTCCTCCCTCCCTCCCTTCCCTCCCTTATGCTGGGCACTGGGGACACCATAGTGAACAAGATACACCCCAGGGCCTCCTAAAGCTCACAGTCCAATGAGGATAAAGACCTCTAATCAAGCACTTATTAGCTGGGGTGCTAGAGGCCAGGCAGGAGACACATAGCAGAGATGTCTGACCCAACCTGGGGGAATCCTGGTGGGCTACCTGTAGGAAGTGACACCTTGCCTGAGACCTCCTCCATTCTTACTAACCTGGCTGGTTCGAGCCCCATGTCCTCCAGATGGCTGCCTGCCCTCCCAGAGGCTTCAGCTTCTGATGTCTGACACAGTTACCGTGTCCTGTGTGTAGGCCCAGCTCCTGGCTCATGCACACAGGGCACTGAGCAACTCCTGGTGCCTAGTCCAGGACTTCAGCTCCACCCAGATAGGTATGGTGGGTTGGGGGTGAACTCTGTCCTCAGTGGCATGCACCTGCTTCTGTCTAGGAATCAACCCTGAGTGATGACTCCACGCCCCCCAGCAGCAGCCCCAAGATCCCGAGTGGGCCCCGGCAGGAGGCCAAATGTTCTTACCCCTACCACACGCTGTCTCAGTCTTCGGATGAGGTGAGCAAGACTGGCAGGGTGCCCATGGAGTCCTGACCTCTGACTCTGCAAAGTGCTCAGGTCACAGGCCAAGCCTTCCCCTCACTCCTTGGTCTCTGCCCAGTTCCTGGATGAGCCCCTCCCCCCCGTCCACCATTGGACCAGCCAGCAGGTGGGCCAGTGGCTGCAGAGCCTCAACCTGGAGCAGTATGCCACCGAGTTTGCCGCCCGGCAGGTAGACGGGCCGCAGCTACTGCAGCTGGACGGAAGCAAACTGAAGGTGGGTCGGAGCGGAAGGGCCATGACCCAGCCCAGTTAGTTACTTGAGGTGATGTTCAAGGATTGGAAGCCCCTCCTTCTGACCTTTGACCCTCAGCCCAGCCTCCTGGGCTGACCTTTTCACTCCATCTGTGGGCACTACCCTGACCTCTGACCTCTAGGCAAGGTCCTTGGTCTAACCTTTGTGTTGTAGTTTGACTTGAAACTCAAGCCCATGACTTGAGTGTGACCTTCAAACTCCAGCCCTGGTCTCCAGGCTGATCTTGCCCTTTGATGCACATGAGTTTCCTAGTATCACGGGAAGCCATGCGTCTCCCCCCAGTCAGCTTGGCCTGATTGTGTCTCTGAGGCTAGTGCTAGTGGTAGGCAGGGGGAGGAAGCGGGAAGGGGGTGGGTGGCCTCTGACCTCTATGCTGGTTCCTGGCCTGTCTCCTGCTCTCTGTTGAGCTGCTTGGGGCAGGGATAGTGAGAAAAGCCCCCAGGAAGTCTCTGGAAGTGAGGAAGGTCTTTGGCCACTGACTAGCTGTGTGACCTTGGGCAAGTGACTTTCCATCTCTGGGCCTCAGGAGGTTGAGCAAGGCCAGGCCAAGGCTGAAATCCTGAGTAGAGGAATGGTGGGGGGAAGGGCAAAGCACCTGATACCCTCAACCCTTCTCTCTCCCAACCACACTCATCCCAAATTCTTGCTCTGGGGGTTCCGATCCATGGGCAGGTCACGGTGTGGGAGGAGGAGGCTCCACTTCAGGGAGGATTCGGAGCTCCACAGAGTGTACCTGGGGCAAAAGGAGCCTGGGTGTGGGGCCAGGACCCGGATGGTTCCGGGACCCTCTCCCTCAACCCGGACTCCTCCCCCAGAGCCTGGGGCTCAGCAACTCCCATGACCGGGCGCTGGTGAAGCGGAAGTTGAAGGAGCTGGCAGCGGCTGCTGAGAAGGAGCGCAAGGCCCAGGAGAAGGCTGCGCGGCAGCGGGAGAAGCTCCGGCGCAGAGAGCAGGAGGCCAAAAAGAGCTAGGGGAACGCGCACAGGCGCTGGTGCCCGGCAGGGGCAGCCGCTGGCTCGGCGGGCACAGGCCTTAGCAGGGAGGCTGGGCCTGGGCGCCGCGCTTGGGCTAGCCTGGTCCCACGCTCTCTGGGGGGACACACCCTCTCTCACCCTGTCACTTGGTCTGGACCCAGAGCCCCCAGAAAGGGAGACCCCAGGGAGGGGGCTAGTAATGAATCCCATTTTGAGGACTTGTTTGGCACAGAGTTCCTGGGGGAGGAGCAGATGAAGGGGAGAGGGCAGAGAGGCCAGGGTTGAGGCAAGTCTGGGAGCCTGCATCAGGCTGTCCCACTGCCCTCAGGCCGTCGTGGGGCAGGGGTGGAGGGGAGCTAGGAGGCCAGCCTGCCTGCCTGCCAGAGGCCCTGAGACGATGGCTGGGCCCCAGGGCCCAGAGCTAGGCTGGGCGTTTCGGCAAGAGCAGGAGTGGGGCTGCTCCTCTCCACTCTCCCAGGCAGCTGTGTGGTGGGAGAGCTCTGTCCTGCTCCCCAGAGAGGCCAGTGGGCGCTGCAGCGAGTCGCACTCAGGGTAGATCCTCAGCCAAACTCCAACAGGAGAGCAGAGAAAGCGGCCTGGGATCAGTGCAGTCTTTGCCAGGACTCGAGAAGGGAGGATGCACACCCCCTTCTTCCTCTCCCCTCCTCTGTCCTGTAGGTTCCAGGGGGTGAGATGATATCGACACAGGTCTGCCTCTTGGGGGCCACTCAAGACCTGGTCTTTGACCCAGCCAGGACCCCCTTTGCTTCCTGCTGCTTCCTCAGAGGGCACCTGCGCCCTCTTTGGGAGCTGAGCAAACAGGAGCTGATGGGGACAGAGGATACCACTCCCACCAGCCAAGGCCTAGGAGCTGCCAACCTGGTCAACCCTCACCCCAGCCAGGCAGAGAGGCAAAACCTGGGTGTCCCCAGCAGCTGCCAGATCGGAAAGGTTCATCAGCCCTCCCCTATCTGCCCCCGGCATTGTCGGGGAATCAGTGGGCTCAGAACCAGCAGGCGGTGTAAGCTCTGCTTCACTGGGCCACACCGAGGGCTGGGGCCAGCTCCCTGGATGGGGGTGGAGTTTACCAGCAGCCTGGTAACAGCATGTGTCCTTTTTAGGAAATGTCCTTGGAGGAAGTGTCCATGTGTGGCACTGGTCAGCAGCTAGCCCTGCTTCCAGGACACTGGTCAGAGTTACCAATGGGGCCGGGGGGCTCCTGGTTAGAACCCCCTCCAGCTCCTCCCATCTGCCTGGAGCGGCAGATGGCACCAGTGCATGCTGGCTCCCTCATTCCTGCCAGGGGCTGAGGCTGACAGCCAGCACCCTGTACCTGGGACTCAGCCCTTATCCCCGCTCTGCAATCTGTGCTGGGAGAGGGGCTTCAGAGGGAAATAGATACGAGGACACTGGCACCATCTGGGCCTGGTGGCGGGGCCATGGGAGGTTGGGAGGCACCCACGTCCTTAAAGCCATCAGTAGCTATAGTGGGTGCCCACCTGCATGTGAAGGGGAGGCAGTTCTCAATTTATTTCAATAAATACTTATGATGTGCCAGTGACCAGAATTTCTATCTGCTCCAGTTGTTGGGTTGGCCTGACTGTGCTAGGCCCTCAGTGTGGTGAGACAACAGGTCTGTCACCACGTGCTGGACCATCCGGCGTTCTGAACGGACGGCTTGCCCAGTGTTTTACTCACAGTCCTAAGCTGGGCCAGACATCCCGAGTGCGTCGTGTGGTGGTCACAGGGCACTGCAGTGCGTGTGTGCGCGTGTGTGGGGCCCTCTCCCCCAGGGATGCAGCAAGGCCAGTCTCAGTCAGTTTCCTCTTTACTGGGAGTGTGGGTGTCACTGCCACAGCCACTGGGAGGGACACAACACACAGCTTTAACCCCCGTGTGCTAAGGGGAAGGGTGGGGGCATTCAGGGTTATAAAACTAGCTATATACACAGCGGTCCTAGGGAGAAAGCCACGCTGAGCACAGTGTCTGGGCACAGTGGAGGCTGGGGCTCAGGCAGGACGGACTGGGCTTATGGAGGGTGGGTGGGCAGGAGCATGTGAAGACATGCTGGGAGGGCTCGGGAGGTGGCACATTGCCAAGGCCGCTGCAGGGCCTCGAGCGCCTTCTGGGTGGCCACCTCTGGGTCTAACAAGGTTCCTCCACCTTAGGGGTGGACTCTGTTAGAACCACCCCTCCCCCACCAACCTTGACCTTAAAGCCCCAAGTGGAGGGAGAGGCTGCAGGACAAGCCTCATTCCCCACTCACGGGTACAACCCCTTTCCCCACTCAGTCCCCAGGTCTGGAGGGCACCCTGCCTCTTCCTAACACTTCAACAGGCCAAGGCCATGGTGCCTTTGTGGGCTGGGGGAGTAAGGCCAACAGGGCATCCCCTTGGAAGGCCTGGGCTGCAGAGGGTGTGGACCCCTGGCAGAAAAATGACAGCCCTGACCTCAGAGAGGACGACTGCCATGGGAAAATGTCTCTGGGATACCCCATCAGGGTGGAGACATCCCCAACCCTCAGCCATCACCCACAGAGATGGGAAGGCCACCGAGGGGTCTCCATGGAGATGGACTGGCACTTAGGGACCATCACAGATCTCACCACAGTGACTTCCATAGAGACAGAGCCTGGTCATCAGGGAGAACCCACCCCCTGCTACCCCAGGAAGATGGGGAGGGGCACCGCGGTGGCTGGTCCGTCCTCTCAGGTGCAGATGCACGCGGCCCTTAGCTGACGCGGTACGTGGATGTGTTCTTGGGCTCGGTGCTGGGCACACACCAGTCACCGGCTTCCTGGATGGTCTGGTAGTGGCGCCAGGCTGACTTGTTGTAGACGGGCAGGCGCTCCACTGAGTCCGTGGACAGGGCCTGGGGAGTGCCAGGGTCAGCCCCTTCCCCAGCAGACCACCCTCCCCCCACCCAACTCAGCAGCAGCCCAGTTGCCAGACCTGGGGGCCTGGAAAGATGAACGAAAGGTGGTCCCTCCTGTGTCCCACCCCCGCCCATTCCAGAAAGCAGCTCCCTCGAAGGGAGGGAGAGGGAGGGAGAAGGGGAGGAGGCTAGGCTGCGTGACCCTGAGCAAGTCACCGACTCTGGGCCTCAGTCTTCTCCTCTGAGCTGAATGACAAGACCTAGGGTGTCCCCTTCCTTCTGGGTCTAACAAGTTGAGGGTCCCCAGCACAGGGGTCTTAATCATGGACCACAGACTCCCCTAGAGCTGTGTGTGTCTGAGGGCTGAGGGTTCTTCAGGTTGAGGGACTGTAGCTTTGCTTGGATTCCCAGGGTCTGCGGCTGGGGAAGGACTGGAAGGGTGGTAAGGAAAGCTCACAGCCGGCCAAGCCCGCCCAGTTCCCATCAGCCAACCTGTTCTCCAGCTGGGCTCTGCAGGCCGGACCCTCACCTTGAGATAGATGACAGCGTCGGTCCCAAAGCCTTCCATGGAGAAGAGCTGCAGGTCTCCCTGGAAATACTTGGCGTAGAGGCGGGAAATGGGGAGCCCGTAGCCAAAGCCAGCCTGCAGCGGGGCAGGAAGGCAGAGAGGATGAGGAGGCTGGCAGGGGCCTCCTGGAGCTGCAGGGACTGATGCAGGGAGGGAAGGGTGTGGAGCTGGGGTCACACAGTGGGTGGGCGGGGGGAGTCCCAGAGCTGGAGAAGGGAGGGGACATGCAGGAGGGACACTGAGGTAAGAAATGGGTGTGGGATGAATGAGGGAATCTTGAATGTAGGAAGGAGGCTTGGGCAGGGAGAGGAGTTCTACTCCGGGACCAGGACATTGGCACAGGTCCCATGGCTGCTTCAGAGTCTCAGGTTCTCTAGCAGGGGGTGCTGGCAAGTTGGACAACACCAAGAGAAAGGTAGAAATTGGGGGTTAGGGCTACAGGGGAGAGGGAAGAGTGGGGAAAGGCGACAGAGACATCCGACAGGTAAGATGTGTGCAGACAGGAAATGCGGGAGGCGCGGGCCCCAGACTCAAGACCGGTGACTGTCACAAACGGCCACACAGGGGCTGAGTGAGCCTGGGGATAAGGAAGTGAGTGAGAAGGAGAGAGGCCTCTCAAGAGGTGGGAGGGGTTGGGGTACAGCCATCTCACCAATGGGGTCCCCCCGGTGCCAGGCTGGGGGGTGGGTGCTGTGGAGTACATATAGCTGAAGAGTCGCTCGATCTTCCTCAAGGGAACACCCCCACCTCGATCACTCATCTGGGAGAGACGGCGCATGTCAGAGATTCTCTACAGCTCAGTTTCCCCACCCCACCCAATACCTCTGACCCTCTCATGGTTTTCCCTGCCCCCAGGATCTGCCCACCATGTAGGAGAGAAGGAGAGCCTGTCTCTTGGCAGGAGGGAAGCCCCCACTACTGCTCCCTGGTCCCCAAGGTCAAGGGTCACATACCTTGATGGACAGATCTTCCTCACCCAAGGCCACCATGACCTTGATGGGTGGGAGAACGAGGCTGGACTCGTGGCTTTCCACAGTCGCCCGCATAGCATTCTGGGGAGGGGCAGAGGTCAGAGATGCATGGGAGGAGCCAGCCATACCTGCGCTCCCCGCAAAGCACGGCTCCCAGCCTCCTCACCTTGAAGAGCTCAAAGAGCATGTGGTAGAGGTGGGAGGGGACGTAGACCATGTGAATCGGCTGTTTGGAGTTGGCTGCTGCAGGGAAAGTCAAGACCGAGGTCACCACTCAACCACCTTACCCAAAGGAGGCACTCTCTTCCCCGGAGTTCTAACTGGGTACATGGCTGTCCAGCGAGACTAAATCCCCAGGCCTCCCTTGAGCTGGGGTAGCTGGTGACTCATAGAAGTGATGTGCTTAACTTTTTTTTTTTTTTGAGATGGAGTTTCACTCTTGTTGCCCAGGCTGGAGTGCAATGGTGTGATCTCAGCTCACTGCAACCTCCGCCTCCTGGGTTCAAGCTATTCTCCTGCCTCAGCCTTCGGAGTAGCTGGGATTGCAGGCACCTGCCACCATGCCCAGCTAATTTTGGGCCCTGCTTTCCATACCCTTGTTCTCTTCCTTCAGGCTAGAACTGAGACGGGGGTAGAGAGCCAGCCCTGACCGCCCCAGCCAGAGGCTGGCAAGAGGGAAACCTCCCTCTTTTTTTTTTGTTCTTTGAGATGGAGTCTCGCTCTGTCACCCAGGCTGGAGTGCAGTGGCATGATCTTGGCTCACTGTGACCTCCGCCTCCCAGGTTCAAGCGATTCTTCTGCCTCAGCCTCCCAGGTAGCTGGGATGACAGGCACGTACCACCATGCCCTGCTAATTTTCCATTTTTATTAGAGAGAGGGTTTCACCGAGTTGGCCAGGCTCGTCTTGAACTCCTGACCTCGTGATCCACCGACCTCGTGATCCACCCACCTCGGCCTCCAAAAGTGCTGGGATTACAGGCATGAGCCACCGTGCCCAGCCAGAAACCTCCCTCTTAAGTAAGCCACTGGTATTGGGGTTCTAGGAAAGCAGCCAAGCTGATCTGCCCCTCCCCATCCCTGTTGAGTTACCCCATTTTATTTCCTTCCTGTCACTGTCATGATCTGACATGGTCTTATTTATTTACTTGTTAATTGGCTAAAGGCTCCATTCCCCAATCTCCCTTAAGCTCCATGAGAACGGGGACCCTTACCGTCTTGTTTACTGTTTCATTCATTCAATCAATTTCACTCTGTCACCCAGGCTGGAGTGCAGTGGTATGATCTCATGCAGCCTCAGCTTCCTGGGTTCAAGTGATTCTCCTGTCTCAGCCTCTCAAGTAGCTGGGATTATACACACATGCCATCATACCCAGCTAATTTTTGTATTTTTAGTAGAGACAGGGTTTCAACACGTTTCCCAGGCTGGTCTCGAACTCCTGACCTCAAGTGATTGGCCTGCCTTGGCCTCCCAAAGTGCTGAAATTACAGGTGTGAGCCACTGCGCCCAGACCAAATATTTACCAAATGAATTAATAATACAATCAATACTCTGCTTCTCCTCTGTCTAGAAAATGGTCATCTCCTGACTCCCCATCTCACCTTGCCCTGCCGTGTCCCCAGTCCCCAGACAGACACACACACAGCCCAGGTCACTCACCATTGATCTCCTCGATCTCCAGGTCAGGTGAGGCCATGTAATACTTGTCACACAGGAGCTTAGCCATGTCATAGGCATCTGAGAGAAGATGCGGCCATTCAGGGCATGAGTGGCCCACCCAGCAGGCAGTCCTCTTGATAATGACACTGGGCACCACTAGCATTAAACCCATGGCACCCCTCACTGAGGAACAAGTCACCCTCTGGCCAGGTAGACTTGGAGGGGTCCCTGGGGCTCCTCTGCGGGCCAGGCACCATGGGAATGGCTCACCTTTGATTACCTCAGAGACGTTGCAGTTGGGGTCGATGCTGCCGATGTGTTTGGGGTGGGCTGGGTTGGTGCTGCCGTCAAAGATGAGGGCTGCAAGCGGGAAGGGAGGGTGTATTGGCTGGGCGGCAGCCTGCCCCAGCGCTCCCTCTTCCCTGGGGCTCTCCTCCTCTCTCTACTTCCACCTGGGATGCCTCTGTAGGCTCCAGTCCTAAAGCTGCCTCACTCCC